ACGACGATGGAATATATTTTTAATGGACGGAAAGCTCAAATTTTAAGAGGGGCTCGTAGCTTCTTGCTCGACATTAAATGCTCGTTTTAAATGATGGTTATTATCAAATCAAATTGATACGAGCTCAAGAAATTGTATCGAACCAAGTTAATACGCGCATTAAATGCCTTGAATGATAATTCAATCATTATTTATTATGATTCGAAATGATCGTACACGAAAGAAGGCAAAACAGGTGCAGAGAAATTTGCATTAATGAGACGAAGAAAAACATTATTCTAATTGCCTTTTTTATAATCTTGATGAACTCTCGTAAGACTAAATAATGCACTGAATGGTCGCGTTACTCATGTTTGCATATCCAGTTCCTTCTATTCGAGCAATATGGTGCAATTTTAACTTATTTCTGGATATGATTTAGGAACAGACAAAGTAACAATTTTGTAGTCACTGTATCAACGAATAAAAGAGAAGTGCTAAGCTAGATTTAGCGTGAAATGACGTCGATTCGTGGAACTTTGTTCCGAAAGCGTTTACGGAAGGAGCACCGTCGAGGTCTCCGATCCGAGATGAATTTTCGGGATTTAGTAGCTCCGGGATCTATTACCTCGACCCTCGAGTTGAACGAACCGGTCCCGTCCGAGGACCCCGACGTCACCCCCGACGCCTCCGACGCCACTTACCGACGCTCTGCCCTTTGCACCCACGCGCGCACGTGCCTGCAGGCTAATGCAATAATGCGGTCGGGACTTCTGTCAGGGCTGAGCCCTGTTGCCACGTGGTTTATGCGCTGGCTGGTCCCAGAAGGTGACGAGAACATACGTAAATTGCCGCCGTCGTTACTTCCTGGTTATATTTAGGCGCGCGGAAGATCGAGTTTCGAACGGGGAAGACCCCACGGGTCTGCGATTACCGACCGAGCAGTCTGCTATCGGGGGGTGGTCCCCGATCGTCGATCGACTTCGACTCTCTGTTCCGCTTTCCGGGGAACAAATATAGACGTTCAGGTGTCCCCTGTTCCAAGACGTCCCTCGAGACTTTTTCATCGATCATTTTTTCTCTGCTCGTTGCTTCCCCCGACTCTTAAGCTCCCCCTAAGCTTCGAGGCGTTAACGCGGGGCACGCGCGCTCGCGCGATGGCGGACACGTGCGCCGCTGTGCACGCGATTGTCAAACACGGGACATCCGTCGAGCATCTTGCCTTCTCTTTGATGAAACAGTGCACTTTAGCGAAGCTGTAAACGCTCGAGACTCTAAAAATTTGACCCCCCTGGCCCTGGTCTTCTTTGGTAATCAATAGTGCAAAATTGTGGTCTGGTGCTTTGAATAGGTATTAATATTCTTTCCTGCGTTTTGGTAATTGAGAGACCAGGAGTTTACTATTCAAACTAGACCTCGATGGAGAAGTATCCTCCCCCAAAAGTTTAAGTCGTCCCTAAGCTCTAGACAAAGGAGTTTCTGGAGGTTGAGGATGGAAGGAGACGTTGTCCCAGATATCTGGGACGAGCCAGCTAGTATTCTTATCGGATCATTCGTCAGTTTTCTTTCCAGGGACGTAGCCTAATGAGCCTAAGAGCGTGCACGGGCACGCGCCCGTTGGGGATCACGGCGCGCGTAGAAATCTCCGGCTGCTCGCAAGAGGGTGTCTACTAGTAACTGTTGGCCGTCAGACAAAAATAGCGCCCCGGAGGCGTCGCACCTACGGATGCAACAAGCATTACCATCGACAGGGATGGGAGGAAGGAGGTCGTCGGGATTTAGACGCGACGGGCGCCCTTCGGCACGCATAGGGACGTTGTTCTACGTCGAACGAAGGGATCATCACGGAGGAAGTTCCGCTTCCGGTCTGCGTCGGGAGGCCCCCGTACCCCCGCTTGGAAATAGTCAAACAACTGGTTTGATCGAGAAAAATATTAACTAGACAGTCAAATTTTGGAGAATTTATTCCAAGGAAACGAATACAATGTTATTCGTAGCTTGATGAGTGAGATATTAGGGGTTTAGGAGAAGAGTCAGGATTTGCATCTATTTCCATCGAATTACTTTACAAGGAAAATACTATTCTGAGGGAATTTAACTAGTTCCACTGAGGTGGTGCCTGGGAAAATCGATTTTTTCATTTGGAAGAAACGAAATTTAAAATAGCCCTCAAAGGCAGGAATTACTTTATCGTAGAAACACCATTCACATACTAGGTTAAGAAAATTCGTTATATACCCCTCAGGACTGATCTTTCCATCTCCCAATAATAAGTCCAATCCTGAGCGATACATAGAGATCATTAATCCCTGATGATTCATGCTCATGTGCATTTAAAATATCCAAAATGATCAAACTAACTATCTAGTCAGCTTCAGTATTATAATCGTGCAAAATCCTATCGAAAACTGTGGATACACTTGATTCTCTTATTCTTAAACAATGTATGGTGAAAGCATATAGTCTTGTAGCAAATATATCACGAAAAACTATGCAACCCCAAATAGAATTCAACCTTAAATATCTTCCAAACTGTAAACCGTCTGCGCCCAAAACCGTGTATCGTTGTCTTCAGAATTTCGAGAACTACAGTCGTGAAAAATCTCGTTAAAAACGGAGGATCGCGGATGGGAGCCTCCGGAGAGGTTCCTTGGAAGGACGAGAGCCGGTCGCCGCGAATAGGAGCGTAGGTATGTAGAGCACGCGGTCGATTCGGAATCCCGAAAAAAGGAGTCCGTGACAACGGGGTGGCCTTTTTCCACGGGAATCGTACCCGAAGAGACCGAAAGCTCGCGAGTTATGCACCTTGAGGAGGCCAGACTGCTTGTGGGACTGTAGGACAAAAGCTCACCGGTGTGTTTCAGCCTCGAAATAGCAGCGTCGGGACGTCGACTCGTCGGGTATCTCGCGTTCCACGGAGCAACGACACTACTTTTCCTTCTTTCTCCTCTTTCTTCGTCTTCTTCTTCGTGGCGACGCACTCGATTCTTGCTAGGAAATAACGAAATAACTTCCGACCGAGAGCACGAGTTCGGAGGATGTCGCGAGATTAAATAAATAAATAAATTAGAGCGATAGAGCGCGAAACGGTAACGCGATGGTAACCTCCTCCCCCGACCCTCTAAGTACAGAGGAGGACCGACCAAGTCGACGCGCTTTGAACGACTGCACCACGTTGCACTCGTTCTCCCCCGAGCCACGGCGAAGCTCTCGTTTGTCCAGGAGCTTCCTTCTTTTTTGTTTCGGGTCTTCCTCCATGCTGCTTTCCCCACCTTCGAAGGGGCTTTCCCCTACTATTTTCTTTCGCACGGCCCGGAGCAAGATGGGATTTCGATGTAGTTCTTTATGACTTTTCCGAGACTCTGTTATCGACGAATCTTCCGATACTCGATGTATACGTTCTCGCGGGCCTGTTTGTTTTAAACTTTTCGCCGAGTTTATCAATCTCGAATGTTGATAAAAAATTTCGGATATTTTTAGCAGGTTTCGCCAGATTTCTTTACGGGTTTTCCAAGAGTCTTCGATCTTCGATGCGTATTTTATGGACCGTTTATCGTAAACTTTTCGCCGAGTTTATCGTTCTCGAATATTAATATGAAACTCTGGATATTTTTAGACATTTTTTATAGATTTTCCGGGAGTTGGTCGACCACGAATCTTCGATCGTCACTTTACATTTTGCTGGGTTTATTTTTCGAATACTTTTTTACAGATATTTTCACGGAATAGAAAAATATAGGTAATAGCTAACGTGACTCGAAGTAGATATAGTGTCTGACCAGTACGGAAGAATTCACTGAAATGCTCGAAGAAAGAGCTATTAGTATACGGTCGGAAAATGAAGGAAAATATACAAGGCGTAAAAAACCATAGAGAATTTATTTATGAAATTCGTTGGCCAGACATTGACAGCGTGATAATTGTATGGTAAAGAATGTTACATTCAACGTGTCTACGCAAATATCCAAGAACGTCGGACAGCTTACCATCGGCTATTTTTTCCGACTTCTGTGTCTTTGTCCCTTCGTGGGTCGCGTATCCGCCGGAACTAACCCACGATTTACTTTTTTTCCCAGTTTCGTGACTCGTAGAGCCTCGACTTAACATCCCCTCCAAACGGAAATCGCGCAGAATTAGTTTCAACCAAATTTTTTAAAGATTTCTAGCATTTATTTTTAAAAAATCTTCAGCTGACATTACTGTTGTTATAATATTATTGGATGGAGTCATAAGTAATAGAAGAGTTACATAACACCCTAGTCTAAAACGTATTCTCCATTATTAAATACAACCTTTTCCCATTTATATTATAAGCAGGTAAATTAAGATATTAAAGACTCGAGTAAGACCTTTACCTGTCACGATACCTCTAAAAATGGCGACACTGGATAAAACATTTCTTCGTACGGTCCTGACCATGGTCCAAGGCCCTTAGCTGCTCATATTTCTGTCAATTCACTTATTCCGGGAGCTGAAACGTGTAAACTTTGACACCAACTCGAGTTTACGACCTCGCTATATCGTGGCCCGGACTATACTTGATCTGAACTTGTCGACTATTATTTCTGAACTATTCAACCTTCTAAAATAAGGTAGGCATAAGTGCGAAAACGAACTACAGGTAATTTGGAATTCCCGAAACAATTTATTATCCATTACTTGAACCGGCAATTACTTATGACTCAACTCAATATAATTAATGATAGAACCCTTTCTAATAGAAGACCTTAAACCACCATTAATTATTCTATTCATTGAATATATTAGAATTATTATTGTGATTACAAAAAGAAAACAAAGAAGTGGAACTAATCTTAAAATTAAAATGCGAAAAGTGGTTCCATTTCCTAAAACCTTATGTTTAAAAAAATGATTTAAAAAAAATTTGTGATTATAAAAGGAAAAGGGTGTAATGAATTTCAGACTTTTAAAATTAAATGATGAAAGGCGATCCTATTCGTCACGACCTTATTTTCTAAAATGATTCTATGTACATGTCGCATGAAACAATACGCTCGAGATCACAATGGTACACACATTTTTATTCGCCTTTACATTTGATTTGCTAACATCTTTAAAGTATCACGCGTTGGGCAATCGGTCTACGTTTTCGTCGCATTCGGCATTCTAATTTCAAACTCCGGCGTCACGTGACATCGTGGAATGATCACGGATTCTGGATACTCGATTACTTTCGAGTCGCTAACGACGCGTCTGGAGCCATTTAACCGCGATACTGCCGGATGTCGCCATTTCCTTTGCAGAGACGTCAGCAAATGTGCATGTCGACGAAATTTTGCTTGTTCTTGTAAACTGGACCCCAAGAACCGTACTTGTCGTTCTTCTTCAAATCTTGCTGTTGTCCCGTCGACGAGGACCCAGTCTTGCCCTTCCTGCACATTGGGAAACAATATTTCCAGAAATCAAACAGGAAGAAAACAAATTTGTAACAGAATAGATTAAAAAATGTATCGGTTATACCTGACGTCGTGGTAGGAATCCTTTATCGTGGAATTCATGATGTTGGTGTGCACCATTGTGATTCTTTTAATGACCCCTCGATGGTTTTTAATGATACCTCTTCCCGTTGACCTTCTTCCGCCGATTTAAACCAATTCGAACCAATATTCAGCGGTGACGAACAATTTTTCACGAATAGATTGAATTTAGTCTCCGATGCTATCAGACACTTTAATTTATCACCTTGAAAATCAATGATCGCTATCGTTAGCAATTTTATAGTGCTCCATCACGGTTTTTTAGCAGTTAGGATACTCACTCTACGGCACGTGATGCAAATGAACCAGAACAAGTAATTCTAAGCGATTTCCAGCGTTACCGCGTCGACTCCCCTTGCGAGTTCGGAGGTTTTTAGCGAGCCTGTGCAGAAAAAGGAGCCATTAATACAAAATTTAATCAATATCGAGTTTGCGAGACTTTGGTGCTCCGGTATTTCAAAATTCTCGTAGCAGATATTTTTTGTTTCATCGATAGATATTTAAAGAAAACACCAAAAGAGTAGGTATATTTTATAGACTCAATTTTTTAATTTTAATTATCAAAAGAGACCCAGAAAGTCTACCTTTTCATCACGAGTCTCGAAACGTTTGGAAACCACTGTTCCACGGATATATGAAATTCGTTCGTAATTGCGCAGGATAATGAAAAACGGATCAAGGTTTCTGCAAATCCACTTCCTGCTGTCGTCGTCTGAAAACCGGCACGCACAAATGGAAACCTGTTTTTGCACTTACCTGACACTTGGCAAAAACGTCGGGGAGTTGCCTTGACGGTCGAAGACTTTGCACCTCATCGACACATAAGATCCTCTCGATCACTGTAAAACACTACTACGATCTTTGTTTTAATATCGAAGGAACTTCGAAGCCTTGGATTCTTTATAGAGAATTCGATTCGAATGGTCAAGTGGAAAGAGGAATTTGAAAATTAATGTTGCCACGAAGCCTCGAGGAAGACTGCAGGTTCTCTGGCGACTCCGTCGCTCTTACATAGTCTCCGAGTATCCCCTTCTTCGCCTGTTGATCGAGGATTTCGAGAGGGGATCGATCTCGATTCCTTCGATCCCACCAGAAAAATGTTCAATTGGTTTAATGGTTGTAAAACGTCATACGATTTTTTTAAATATTCATGTACATAAGCATGTACATAAATAACGTTTTCCACTCTTACAGATCCTCTTAGTCTACTTTGGGGGGTACCTAAATAATATTTAGCAATGTATAATTAATAAGAATTTTTTGGAAAGCAAGATTACGAACCGTTAGGTAACCGTGTCCTATTTTGATCTCAAGGAGGCAGACATTTTCTATTTTTCGACGAATTCCGCCATTTTGGTGCGCAGTATTTCACAGAAAATGAAAGGCAAAGAATATTTCGTTAATATTATTCGATGCAAATGAATTTCGTGACACTCCCTTAAATATACACATGTTTTCTCCCTCGTATTGCTAGGATTTCAAGATTTAGTAAATCATGAGTATGTTTGTTCCAGAAGTTTGACTCATTAATAATGTATATTGGTTAATGAACTTGACTTGTTATTCAAGCTGGGAAGATCTATTTTACAATTTTTCCTCGATCTATTCGCAGAACTATCGTAAATCAACGATTAAATTTTCCAAGATCGTCTATGATACACTAGTACGAATAAATTTTTAAAGTTTTGTTTTGATATTCGACAAAATAACAAAGTCGTAGAATGTTTTCGTGGACGTGTCAGATTGCACGAACAGGTCTGAACGCGTTTACCTCGAAACTGTATTTTTCGAACTGGTTGCCAAGATTTCTCGAAACATAATGACCGTATTTACTTCAAATTTTAACGGTACGTTCTTAGATATGCTGTTTACATTGAAAAATTAGAGAAACTTTGTGTAAAAAATCAAATTTCTCTATTATATTAGTAAGTTAGAACGGGAAAAATAATTGTCAAGCTCGAATTTAAGTTTTAAACATTTTCGACCCTGTTCCCCGATCATTCTGCTTTAATTGAAACAACAATTTTGCCCATTAACGATTCGCAACCACCGCATAATGTGTATCGCGATACATTCGTCGACGTCGGAGCCGTGCCCAACGAAATAAATTATACATTCGTAGAAAAATAAAAAATAAGTCGTGTAGCTTGCAACCAAAGGCAAACTAGAATCTGATGCAACATCTATCCACGATGTCATCAGGTTGTTGCTTTTCAACAACTGAAATATAATGGCCCGACGAAGGGCATCGACGAGACAAAGTTCGAGCATGGAAATGTTTCTAATAATTTAATTCTTTAAATGCTACACTAAAGTTATCTAATCCAGAACCTTTTAAAGTTTTTAACAACATAACACACTTAGGAGAGGCTAGTATTTATAGGGTACATTTTGTCAAATAACGGAGATTATATTAATAATATAAAGAAATTTACGGTTAAACTTATATACTTGCGATATTTTCTTTAACATAACTCTTTTATGTTCAGAAAAATGCTTGAAATAAACATTCGTAATTCTTGATATAAAGTTTTGAAAACGACTTTAGTTTTTTGAGAAAATGGAGCTTTTTTAGAAAATGTTATAAGAATATTTGTGCAGTATCTTTATAACAACGGGAATTCTTTTGCAATTAAAATCTTTTAATTAACTTACTACTTTTTTTTTGGTTATACGCCCACACGCGTCACACCTGTTGGGAAGTACTGGCCTAATGCATACAGATCGATTGAATCATAATTCTTACTAAGAATCGGAAAATTAATCGTACGAGGAAAGCTTGGTGCAAATATGTTTTATATTTTGAAAGACTTTTATTTACAATAAAATAAAATATTAAATTATAATAAGTAGGAGTTTGTATGGATAATAATTTCGATTTATCGAAATATATATTCCACACTGTATGAATGTATCACATTATAGAAAATCAATCCATAAATTTGTTATAATATATTTATTTTGTTCTATAATATAAAATATTGCAGGCTTTTTTTGTACAAACAAAAGAATTAAAATTTAATGCTTTTGATCCTTTCTTCTTCGGTCATCTTAAAAAGTAATTAACTTGAAATTAATAATTTACAATTGCAATTAATTATAATAAAAATGTAAGTCTATCTAGCTTCCACTATACTTCGTTTATTTTCGGGAGTTAGGTTTATCAATCGATTGGAATTTTCCGCCAATTCGGTGATGCTGATCCTACCGCGCTGTTTTATGAACTTCGCGACATCTTCGAGTTCCTGCTGCGAGATATAAATAAATTTCCCTCGATCGTCGATTATTCCTGTTAAACTACCGCTCGTTTGTAATGCTTGAATTCTTTCCACCACGTTTGCTGTCTTCAACCCAAAGGTGGCAGCCAGATCTTCTAGAACTACTACTTTATTCTTTTTAATATGTTCGACAAATGCTTCCAATAAATTCTCTTCGTCTTCTTGTTCCTCCTGCTCATAGCCTTCATCCTCTACGCTAAATGCTTCTTTCATTTTCAAATATTCCTCATGGTCTTTCTTCTCCTGCTCCTCTCTGGCTTTCTTTTCTGCTTCTTGCTGTTTTAATTCCTCCTCGCGTTCCTTCTCGTATTCTTTGTCCCTCTGTTCTTGGTACAGTTGCTCCCGTTTTTTACGCTCTTCTCTTTCCTGCTCGGCTGCTTCCCTCTGTACCTTCTTCTCTGCTTTGGCTGCCAATTTTGCTCGTTTCTTCGCGCCTATCTTCTGATCGGATATATCTGGTTTCTCGTCAGCCTCGTCATTACCCTCGTTTCCAGACACATCTTCGTCTTCGTTCGTCTGCGGAACGACGCTCGCTTGCATACGACGTCTAGCATTTCTTTGTCCAGCGGTTCGCCTCACTGGCCTGCCTTGCAGAACTCTCTCCGATACGTCGGTCTGTTTCTTCTTTGTACCTGCAATACATTTAAAACATTTTGCTCATTTCTGCCGTCAAAACATCTGTTTCAAAACAAACTTTGAGGTTAGGAATTTGCTCGTAACGGAACGAACATTTTTTTGTTAGCAACGTGTACCGTGTTATAAAAGACTAGAACGTACCGGATCTTTGTTGCAAGAACACCGTGCAAGCGACAATCAAAAGTGCAATTATAACAGCGACAATCGCCAACACAGTGACGTCCATATTTTGTATTTTTCTAAAATTCTCGACTTATCGAAGAAAGTTATCGATAGTGCCCAGTGGCGCCGCCACAATACGTGTATTAAACTGATTGTTTTCGAAGGTGACGTGTGCTGTGTAGTGTCTCGTACAGAATTTTGCTCGTAATAAGTTTTGCTGTGCCCTAACAGCACCTTGTACAAATAATCATGTGGAAATACGGAAGTATAATTCTTGTTTTTCTATGCATCCTCGAATATGGCACGGGACTTTATTTTCATATCGCTGAAGGAGAGAGAAAGTGTTTCATCGAAGAGATTCCAGATGAAACTACAGTTTTAGGTACGTAGTAATAAATATATGCCCACCAAAACAATAGACGTTTTGGTTAAATTTCACGCTTTATCAATCTTTGGACTTTATGGTTTTCTTTATAGTAAATTACAAGGTCGAATTGTTTGATCCGAGAACCGGCGGATTCATGCCGAGCAGTCCGGGTGTGGGAATGCACGTGCAAGTTCGGGATCCAGATGACAAAATGATCCTGTCCATGGTGTACAGTTCAGAGGGACGATTTTCTTTCACTTCTCACACGCCTGGTGAACATATTATTTGCTTGTATTCTAACAGCAGTTCTTGGTTCAGTGGCACACAACTGGTACGTAAACATGAACAGGTAGTATAACCCATGCAAAATATTTTGACCATTCGATGTTACCTCCTTTGCTTTTTATCATGATCAATGGTATATATATATAACTTTTAATGGTAAAAATATTTGCTAGTTCAATAGTATTATTAGACATAACTAAAATTGTTCCATAATCCAGCGAGTTCATTTGGACATCCAAGTGGGGGAACACGCCATTGATTATGGCAATATGGTCCAAAAGGAAAACTTCTCAAAATTGCAATTGAGAATACGCCAACTTATCGATCAAGTAGAACAGATAACCAAGGAACAAAATTATCAAAGGGTAACTATTTTTTAACATCTAATTCAGTTTCAATTGTACAATTTTCCTCTTTTTTTAGTATCGGGAGGAACGATTTAGGCAAACGTCCGAAAGTACGCATCGTCGTGTATTTTGGTGGTCTCTCACGCAATCTGTGGTCTTGTTAGTCATGGGGGCATGGCAAATGAGACACTTAAAGAGTTTCTTTGAAGCAAAAAAATTAGTATAAAAATAAAATCAGTTATTTCTAGGGTATTAGTCATCTTGAAAATTTCCTTTATCATCGCGCGAGACTCGTTATAATTTATTTTTTAAAAAAAATGTAAGCACTGAGTGGGTCTATTTTCATGAACGTTTCTATTGTATTTACGCGTGCAATCATTTTGGGTGCGTCCACGTGTGTTCATTGATCAGTGTATCCATACAAATCGATCAATTCTTCAGTATGATGGAAACAACTTATGATGTAATTTTTCATAGAAATAAAACTACTATAATTTTTATGAAATCTTACTTCGGTGCAGTTATTCGTGACACGGATTCGTGCTGCACAAACAAGGGAATATCGCAAATTTTGCACAAATGTTCATTGGTCTAATTCAGTTATTTTGCTGAAGGCATGTAAATTAGCAGGAAAAATGCTTGGAAAATATATTTCTCTTAATCGGAAAGTTTTTATAACTAAATTCAAATGTAGTTTAATCCTTGCGTTAATATTTTGTAGCGTACCCTTTTTGTTTTATCGCTTAGAAAAGTAAGAATTTAGATCTGGTGACTACGGTGTTATGACTTTACAGACGGTATATATAGCAGTTAAAGGTTAGACAAAATGGCGTCGGAGTACTTGTGAACTCGCCTTCATGCATAGTTGAATATAAACTTCTTCGATCTCCGTCTGTCAGAGACATGTTTGTGGAAAAATCTTGTTTGTATCAACATACACGTGTACTCGAAGAGTCCAATATTTACGTTTTTATTTAAAAAATGAGTGACGTGTAACCAAAGAATAAGTAAGAAAAGAAGACAGTCGTCATGTTTCCGTTGCGACAGATATTCCGACTTGGCACGCGACTGACTCTTACGAGAGAGCCTTCCAACTTGCATCAGTTCTCGTTGATTGCACAAAAAGAATTCAATAATGGTCAGGAAAAAATGTTCGTTCGTACGAAAACGAATCTCTGTGAATCACCGCAAGAGGACAAAAAAGAACTTGTCGAGAAACAGGTGCTTGGCAAGGTCGTAGCAAAACTGAAATTGATGTTCACGTGTAAACGTTGCAATTTTAGAAATAGTAAAACCATATCGAAAGTAGCTTACGAAAAAGGAGTAGTTATAATACGATGCGATGGTTGTAAAAATAATCATTTAATCGCGGATAATCTTGGATGGTTCGCGGAGATGCAGAAGGTTAGGAACATCGAGAAACTTTTGGCGGCAAAAGGCGAGACTGTTCGAAAGATACAGAACGATGTTGACGGATATCTCGAGGTAGTTGCCAAAGAGGAATTTTATACTTTACAGCATAATATGAACAGAGAACGTTTAATCGAAGAGCAAAAGAACGAGATAAGTATTTCGAATAAAAAACCTGAAACTTCGGAGGATACGTAGGAAAGAAAATATTTGAACAAATATAAATAGTTTTGAATTTATTGTATACCACTTATGGTCTCATTACGTACAACTTACAAGTATATGCGTAAAAAATAATATCGGAAGTTTGGTCGATATCGAAAGACATAAAAATTTGTTTTTGATCCTTTAAATTATATAATTACTAGAGTAAACAGTGCTGTTTTCGTAGTATGCATACTTTATACTTTTCCTTTAATAATATAAAATGTATATAATACTCTTAATATGTACAATTTGATAAAAAATACATATTCTCAAACAAAATTTCTCAGATCTTAAGATTCTCTAAGACTTGCCTTTTGCAATGCTATTATTGAGTGTAATATCGATAAAATTCAAATGGCAGACCTTGGCACATGTTGTAAAAAGTTACTATATATGGCAAGTTCTAATTGACAGTGTTAAATGTTTGTTACGTGAACATCTATTAAAAAATGTATATGTATAATACATTTTTTAATAGAGCTACGTTTCGTCAATAATAAAATGTATGAAACGTGGTTAAATCCTTTATAAATGTGCATATATAATACGTATATATGTATATAAAATATATAGTATTTGAAACAGATGGAATGACTTTATGCTCTTCCCTTATTATGTATACATACATATATATATATAAACTCTGGTTTTTGAAAAATGTATATAGATTTTAAAGGTCTTGCAGTGAGGGAACAACTTCAATGAAAGTTGCAGTACTGCTATAATGGGGAGCTATTAATAGATATAATAATATTAAAAGTCTCTAAGTACACCAGATAATGTAATAACATGCAAATTTACTTTCCAAATACTGTAATAATTTAATAAAACTTAGCTTGATTGTGCTATTAACCCTTTGACGGTGAACACAAGCTACACGCGTTTTCACACATACACGCTGAACGCTCATAGGCGTTTATCGCACGCAATCAATCGATCGTCCGAGTACCGATCAAAGGGTCGAACTATTTTATGATATAAGGCACTGTATCGTTTTTTTATTGCAATCAGTCATTTTTATACTTTTAAAAAACTAATGCTGAATCCCTTTCAGAATAATATCGTATTAATAAATTTCCTTGTAACATTTACTGGTTAATATACATTAAAAATCATTTTGTTTCTAGAATAATTATTCCTATACAATTGACAATGATTAAGAAGACTAGTGATTTTTAACCTAATCTTTGCACGGAAATAAAAGTAATTTCACCCCTTCACGTTTATAACAAAATTATAAAATATCAGCATTTAACTTTTTCATTACTCGGAAAAAGTAGGAATGAACTTATTCTAGTCATAACATAGACTAGCATTATTATTATTTTGGAGAATTAGAAATCTCTAAATCAAATATAGTTACATTTACGAAGTTGAAATTATTTTGGATCGTTTATACCCTTTTTGGTTTAGATACAACTGCATATTCACTATTATTATAGACTGTATGCTTTGGACCCATCGCGTTACTACTGGAAGCAGACTCGGAGTGATTTGATTTCTTTCTAATGACACCGTAACCGAGGTGACTATCATCCGCTAATCTAACAGCAGACATATCTTCGACTATATCGTAATTGGACCATGCAGTGTTTGTGTCAACTACCGAATTGTTTAGGGAAACATTGGAATGTGAATTGTTAGACGCGGTAGTAAAGTTCCCAAATTTATACGCACTTTTCTGATTAATGTTACTCGCGGAACCGAAATGTTCTAGTTTATCGTAATCAGGGTCATCGTCGTTAGATTTGCAAGATACGTAATTAATCGACGTTGCCATCGAATTATCCGTAATACTCGACTTACTTTTCGAAGAGTTCTGGGACGACAGCATAGGCATCATAGTTTCGTATTGGAAATCATCCCCGTTCTCTTTATCTTTGTCATTGTGCAGTAACGAGGTTGGTCTTTCTGTGTGATGTATGTTATCGATACCATGCGTTTTCCAAGCGTCGTTCCTTACTTCTACTATATCGTACGGATGTCTCTCCTCGTCATCGAGTATCGAACTTCCTATTGTTTTCTGCGACGACTCTGGCGAATTATCCCGATTTAATGCTTTATACTCCACGGACGCGGGCGAGTCCAATATCTCGGAATCTATGCTCTTCTTGTCTAATAAGCCCGCGAAAATATATTTTCGTGGCGGCTTCGCGGGTTTAGATTTCATGAGAGACAAAGAGGGTTTAGAAGATAAACTGGTATCTAAATTTGACGAGGAGATTGACTGTTTCTGAGAATTTTGCGATGTTGAAAAATCGATGTCTATCAAATTAGCAGAACTATTTGGGGAAGGGGGTAACGCTGCTCTAGAACCAGCTTCCATAGACAAAGCCGCGTGGTATTGAGCGTCGTTGCATTCGATACCCGGTATACCTTCTTCGTTCATTAATTTCTTCATCGACCTCATTTTTGAATACATGCAACGAAAAATCTCTTGCTGGCTACTGTGTTCCAAACGAAAGGAACCTTCCCCAGACTCGCATTTTCTTCCCGCTTCAAAAATGAACTTTCCATCTTTGTAACCGTATCTTCTGATATAGCGATACGGCCACGTGAACAACACTATATCCCCATCCATTAATTTCATATCAACCGCGGCTACTACGAGCGTATAATTTCTATTTTCTAAACCGCATCGCTTAGACGCGTCCGTTTCTGCTACTTTTACGGAAAACACTCCTTCGCCGCTGGTGCAGTAGAGATCATTGTTTTCTTCTATCGTCTGGTTAGAAACACTGTCTTTAAAAGCTACTAATTGAAACGCGGTTATCCAGTGACTCATATCCGATTCCGAGTAACATCCAAAGTAGTGGATTCCTGATTTTGTCACCACCTATGCACAAAAATCATAAAAAAAAAGTATAAGTGATATTCTTTGATCGTAGAAAAGGATAAGTGATACTGTTCAATTGCAAAACCTCTACTTACAGTGAACACATGGGACTGGTTACTCGGTGCAATCTTGATGCATGCATCCAATGTAATGATGCGTGGACTATGCAGCTGTAATACAGCCTCCTCTTGGTTGTCATAAATTTCTACACGCTTGATCCCATAGTTGCTGGTTCTGAACAACTGACAGAACCTCTTGTGCCATGTTTTCTGTAACAGAGCAGCATCGAACAAGATTTACGACCAACAGCTTATTTGAATCTGGGAAACTTTTCTCCAATACATAGGGTGTACCATTCGTTTCGCCAATGGATCAAGAACACAAAAACAATGCAAACTATTTAGTTATTCTTGTACTTCGGTAATACTTAATTGCAAACAGAGCTAACATAATCGTTTGTGTACAAGGTTTTCTATTGCTTATGTGTTCCCAATGCGGTGTTGAAGCAGGTCCCTGTATAACTTTAAAATACACTAATAAAGATCGATCGATCGTTTCGGGGACGAGACAGTGCATTCTATAAACTTCAAAGCATCGACGCGATTCAAGAGTGACGCGTGTCACGCTCGAGCTAACGTTAAGTCTCTACACGTTCTGAAATGTCTAACTTTATCACGCTGCTTTGTAGGTTATTTCTCGACGACGACGACCGATGACAAACAGTCGAGTCAAGAATAAAAAGAAAAACAGTAGAAAGAGTAAAAGCCGTGGAAGGAGTTTGTTTGACGACGGATCGCGAAAACCTAGGATACAGGGCTTGTCCGTTCTGACGTTAACCAACCTTCAGTTGGCCTAGCATTCCCTGTGGCGGTAACAGAAGAATCCCTTGTAACAGCGGTTCCTCGGGCTCCATAGTCTCCGCGGAACATCAGCAGCCTCGTCGCGTTCGCACTAGGTGCTCGCCCTTGTCCCTCGCGTAATTTCGAAAAACGGAATTTTTCCACTTTCACTCCCACTTTTTTCCGCCCGTCCTATTCCTCTCACTGGTACGCCTTTGCTGGTCTCGCGTTCTGCACGATCGTACGCGGCGTTTCTAACGATTTTCCCGGAGACGTTCAGCCCATCATAACGTATGGTGCTTGACATTGCACGAAAGCTTTGGAGCCCGACGTTAACGTCGACCAGATTTCCGGGAGAAAAATCGTTCGCCTCCGTGTGTGCGTGTCGCGCGCGATGCGTACGTGCACGAGGCGCGCAGTCGTGTAGTACGGGCTTCCTGACACATTCGGAGTGCACTGTCGGGGCTTAATAGAGTCACGCACGTCCTCCGTCCCGCGTGACGTCGGCCGAATCGTCACGAACGGACGTACCAGCGCGGCTATTCCCCAAGATAACTCCGCTGGTCTTGTTATTTCAACTCGTCGGTCACCAACTTTGTTTGCTGCGAATTTGTTATCGTTCGCCGCTCGTTGTTGCACCGAGCTCTTTCCCTTGGCCCGACATCCGTGGAATTCCACTCGCGATCGGACACGAAGACAATGGCAATTTAAATTCTACTCGGTTTCTTTCCACCTATGAGGCTTGTCGATCGAAGATAAAGGCTCGACTAAATTCTTTCGAAAGGGTCTGCTAAAAACCATGAAACTTTTTCGAAATAATACAAATTGTAGAACCTATATGTAATGAGGCTGCCTAAAAAAATGGCTGACACCATAATGGCCGTTCCAATATCAATAAATGAAAATCAAATTAATCTTTCCTTCCTCTAAGTAACACATCGACTCAATAATTCGATAACAGTAACAGCGATAAGTTTGTACTAATAATAATAACACCAAACGTGGTATAGCTGCGACTGTAATATCATAATGTGGTAAATTTTGTAATACCAGTAAAAATTGTAACTGGAACTATTAAATAGGAGAGTTTAATTAAATACGAATAATAAATGATTTATTACGATTAAATTCAAGGTCATTTGGTATAATATTATGAGCTTTATTTCTAATAATATTTGATTCGAAAGTTCGAACAAAAGGAACGGGGAATGCCCCTGGGACGAAGAATAAAATCGCAAAGCAACGATTCATTTTTCCTATTGGCGACGACAGCGCGTAGGTTGTAATAATGCAACCGTCGCCATCGGCTTTATCTCTGATTCCGCTACACGGAAGTGGTGTACCGCTGCGTTCCACCGACCGATATGAAACAATATAATTGTCTGTCGCGTTGACAGACACACGTAGCCAATGTTATAACACTAATCGTCGATGTCTTCTACGCACACGGTGGTCGACAGGGTAGCGACAGATCTCAAATTTTTTTAAATCGATAGCATACAGGTCGCTAATGATAAAATATTAGACATAGTTCACTGTTTTGACGATATTAAACAATTAATGTTACGTACTTCTTGATGTACTATAAATACTCGCGGTGGCGAAGTGCGACGATTGCGTGTCTTATAAATTACAGTTCTTGGAATAGGTTCCTGATAAATAAGTAAAGCGGATAATGAAACTTTGCTGGGTCACTTCTGACCCACGAGGAACAATCGATTAACTCAACAAAGAAACAACACGGGGATAAAACATACGATTATTTTTGCTTTTACTCCGTTAATAGCTCGTAGTTATATGCTCTGCAAAATGGCATTGTACACAGTTGAATCAGAAGCTTCGAATTAGGTCTAATCAGAATTTGAATCATCCGATGTTACGCATACTATCGTACTATCGCTATCGATAAATTACATTTTATTCTTTTGTGTGTCATATTCGTTACACATTTGTACCACAGTCCAAAAGACTTGTTTAGGGAGGGGGAGAGCAAAATATATTAAAGTACAGTTTTGGATCTTCTTTTGCACGATTTGAAATTTAATTTAAAAAAAAATAAATATATACTATCAAGAGGAACACTACATTTTTTTAAAAATCCTTTCCTCTCGCGAGTAGTCTCACGATTCGATCCGACGATTTCTTCGTGGTAGTAGTTGCGTTTGGTTGTATGCTGTTCGTACGTTTACAGCGAATTTTGCAATCAGCTTGCCAGGCACACGCAACTAGACTAAACAACGTCCTACTCCAATTCCACGGGGATTCGATCGTTCGGTGGTAAGTTATTAAAGAATCGACCTTTCCCGTGATTCGCGGTGCATCGAGTTTACATTAGTCCCGACCGGGACACACTCCGCGCGCGATTGTATTCTGACGAGGTTGTAATAACGGATGAGCCAAACTAATGAAGTGATACATTATTCACGGCTGTCCTCGGTTATATATCGTCCGTACGATACCACGCGCGCGTTACTTTTCGTTCGCCGATAGAAATGATATCGCTCCTGTTTCTTCTGTCGATCGTCAATTATGGCCACAGCTACAACGATTTTCCGTCCTTGATAACTGCGAACGCCACGATGGGTAAACGAGTGATTTTATTTTTCGTGAATGTGTTGGTGCCAGTTACTGTCCATAGGTCAAAGAACGGAGAAACTTTACCCTACAAATGAAAATCAATCCTTTCATCGTTAAACAACCCTCGGGGCCGGCACTACACTTCAAAAGGCACCTTTTAACATTTTTATTTTGAAATTATTTCCTAACGATCATTTTAGAATTAATCGTAATTGACACTTGTTGCGTGAACTCCGACAGAATCAAATTTTTTCTTCTACTATCGGCTAATTACGTACAAAAGTGTAATTTTTGTATTACTTAGTATGTCTTCGTAAGAGTATTACCCACAAATTGGCGACGTTTTCCCGATGAAAATGAGTCCAAACACAACACGATTCCGACCACTTTTAATTATTCAAAATTATAAATTTTGGGAAAGGTTCGAACGGCTTATAATCGAAGATAGTCCGAACGAGGTCGTGTTTGGACTCATTTTTATCGGGAGAACCTAACCAATTCATTGATGGTACTCTTACGAGGATAAAATGGGTGGACGGGGGGTGCGTGTAAATTATATAATTTCCACGGAGTGAAATGGGAATGTTCTCTGAACAGCGTTGGTCGTCGACAGGAGTCTCTTCAGTAACAAAGAGGACCATAAAAACACGGTGGAGTTCCTTCTTAATCTGATCAAGGACACCGTGAAAAGAGAGATGGGTGTGGGTGATATCACAGTCCACGTTTTCCGCGATACGAATATTAATCTGCGACAAGGTAAGCGAACGAGTCCCGATCGATCGATCGGTTAATCAATCGTCGCTATAAAACCTTCTTTTTGTCGATGGTCGATGCTCGCGTCAAGATTTCACGATACTTCTGTCTATCGCGACCTGTTACCTAACATGGCGGCTGCACGAGGTTGCTCGAAAAGAGGAACTCATACATCTCGCGATAACAGGTTCGCGAATTAAAAAATAGACTTGTCTCAAGATCTGGATTTTATTTAATAACAAATTTCTTTCGTCTCAAGATCCAGACTGTCCCAGACTCCCGGAAGTCGACGGTATAAGCATCCCTCTGATCGTGCCTGGCGAGGAACTGTCCCAGATCTTTCTCGACCTGAGAATAACGAACGTCCTCTCCTGGAACGTGATCAACATCCTCCACGACGATACCTTCGGTGATAAGATGCGTTATTATAGTTATTTTCAACGCCTTTGGTCTCTGTGGCGAGACTGAGGCAGCCATTTTTTAGAACAGACCACGTGCGCTATCTGAATGGTAACCGAGGTATTAGAAATTCCCCAGTTCCTGAACGAATCAAGACTCTTCCTTTTCAGGCGAGTGTTTTGATTGGTATCGAAGCTAGTGACTTTCTTCTCTCATGGTACGAAGCGTGTAATACTTTAGTCGCTATTCGGATGGCGCATGTGGTTTATTCCCAAAGATGGCAACCTCCATATCGACACAGAGTGTTCTTAGACTCGAGCCTTTGGGTTCAGGAGTTTGATGATACTTTTAGGACATATAATCTTCTTTACAAATGACTCATATGTTAAGGACACATATTAAAAAGTATTCGAGTTGCGTGCATTTGAAAATTGTTACCGTGTTCGCGATGCTTTTCAGACAGGGACACGATCAGCAGAGTGATGAAGGCCATATCAAACAAGCTGCCCACCAAGAAGTCGAGCTTGATCTCCAGGTCGATATTCACGCTGAAACACGATGACACAGAGAGAGGGAGGAAAAAATCGGTGAAGAAGGTGCTGAACGATTTTCACGTGGATCAGCTGGGCCACTGCTTTCTGGTGATCGCCACTCTCGATATAGTCGCGGATGTTATGGAAGTGGTGAGATTCTGCTAGTCTAAAGACCATTTGGGCTATTTGTATAAAGGGAACACAGTAACAAATAAAGAATAAGCAACTTTTTATCCATTAAGATACATTTCAAATTGTTATTCGTCATGTATTATTCGAAGAAACATTTGTCCGCCTCTGATTTTCAATTAGTCGTAGCGATCGTTGGTTACGAATCGTTTCCAGGAAACTACAGAAAGAGTTTATCTCGTTTGGGGTTTATGTCTCTTTACTAATGGTGTTAGATAATTCCTTTTCGTTTTTTTTTTTTTTTTTAAATAGACACTCAAAGATACATCCTGTCGTAAATTGCATTTTAACGATTTATGTCCACTTAAAACAGCAACTGAGGCGGTAGGCTGCCTCGCTCGTTTACTCTAAGTAACGAACTCACTTACGAAACTTTCTTTGCGTTTTTGCATCTTGAAGGCAAGGTCTCTGAAGATGGTGCATCCTGGCAGCCAATGGTTGTACGTTATTACAGACAGCGCGGAGCAGAACGCGACCAACATGACGACCTTCATTGATTTGTTAGCGGAAGGAGGAAACGTGGCCTTCATGTACAACGCGACCGAGTTCGGCGACTTCTGCGAAGTAACGATCGGTTTTACTTTTTGAAAAATTAAATTTCGAGATCGAGATAAATTTTAATTAAAAACATTGACATTAACAAAAAAATCTCATCCAGATCGAACGAACATCGTAAGAGTTACAGAGAAATCACAAACACACAGATTTTGAATTTTAATAATTATTTTCCACTGTATCGAACCTTGTGAAATTTTATCCCCAACCTTTGAAATATATTTTTCTTAAAATTGGATAAAATGATACCTTCAGGTCAAGCTAACGTGTTACGCCGCGGAATTGATCGAAGCGCTGGTCAGAGCCTTGGATTATTCTCTGATGAACGAGATCGAACTTCTGAAGAGGATCGGCGACGAGGATTTCGAGATCACCCGGCTAACGAAACGCGAGAGACGACACGAGATGTTGAGGAATATCAAGGTTAGCGATCCGAACGCGATGAAATCCACGTTCGATGGACTAAAATTCGTGCTTCTTCAGATCCACTTTTCTCAAAGTACTGTCGCTTCGAAGACTAGCTGCGGAAGATGCTTGATATGGAGGTTCTCCTCGTCCATAACTTGGGGAAACTTCTTCGTTCATGAGAAAAACATTGCTCATTTGTTGGACGTGGGCTCCTGGACGCCAGAATTCGGCGTTAAATTGTCAGACGTCCTTTTCCCTCACATTGATCATGGATTTAGGGGGATCACTATACCTATTACCACGTATCACGTGAGTAAAAACTTTCTTTAGTTTCAAAGAAAGTTCAAAAATTAGTTTCCAAGTTATCATTTGGAATTAACGAAGCAATTACCTGCACGAACAGTGAAAAATTAATTACGACGCGTTACTATAGAACCCACAGTGGCAAATAATCTCCGTGAGCAACACAGGCGAGAAGATTTACGGGGGATTAATCTTCGACGTGGTCAACTATCTGAGCAAGAAGCTGAACTTCACGTACAATGTTATAGCTCCAGAACTGGACAAGATCCCCAACTCCTGGAACGATTCTCGATTCTTCAAACTAGGAGATGTAAGGAGATCTACGTTATTTGTATTCGAACAGTCAAGTATTCCAATAGCGTTTTAATAGTCGAGCGTTTCAATTGTATTCGAATTGTACTCGTGGAGAAGTGTTTCCAGTTAGTTTCATCACATTCGCCATTGATTATCTTCTGCAGAAGGCCAGGGAAATGACAATGTCGAGTACGAGGAAACTGCCCAGGGAAGTGGTCGACTTGGTACGCGAGAAGAAGGTTCTGTTGGCAGCCTGCGCTTACACCGTGAACGAATATGGGAAAGAGGCAATGAATTTTACGGTACCCATTTTCGTGCAAACGTATAGCTTTTTAACTTCCAGGCCCAGACAGCTGTCGAGGGCGCTTCTATTCGCTTCGCCGTTCACCAAAGAGGTTCGTAAACGCAACTTACTCGACGCGAATCTAGTATCTTCCTTCCCTAGCAATTGTTCTGCAGGTTTTACGTTCCAAATCCATCCTTTCGTTGTATAGACTTTAAATAGAATCGCAGATCCGTTTACGATTGTCATCGAGCAAGATAAGAATTAATTGTTGTCGTTGCGCAAAAGACCGTCGTCATTCACTTGGTTATTTTCTCCGCTCGTGTACCCCCTAACGTTCGGTCTGGCTTTTAGACGTGGGCCTGCCTGGCCGTCGCCATTATCATAATGGGTCCAATCCTGTACATGATTCACAAGTACAGTCCCTATAGCACGCAGACCTCGGGCCTGAACTCGTCCTGGCAGTGCGTGTGGTACGTCTACGGGGCGCTCCTTCAACAAGGTAACGTTCGATTGTCCTATCAGTGGGTACAGATTATGAGATTAGAGTAATTATCCCTGTAATAATAATTGCTACAACGATAGAAATAGCAGCGTTAAGGATTATCGTAGTGGGACGAACAATAGGTGGGCTGGTTGGAGCAGATATAATAGATAGACGTTAAGCTGCATCGGTTCGCGTCTGTTTTTAAGGCTCTGGAGCTCCATTAATATGCATTATTTGAATTTTGAATCATTACGATCCTTCAATCCGTCCAGAAGTTATGATTTTTGAAGGGAAATCAGACAGACATTGTCAGACATTGTATTTTCGGTAAAGAATTTTTTTCTCGAAAATGCGTGGGATTTCGAGGGTATGTCTATTCACCAAAAATGATTCTAATTGACCCCCGCAACCAAAAATAATTTTTTTAGGACGCTTTGAAAATTTTTAATTTTGTTGAAAATTTCTGCACCTACTGAATTTTTTTCTCGAAAATGCGTAGGATTTCGAGGGTATGTCTATTCCCCAAAAATGATTGTAATTGACTCCCTCAACCAAAGATAATTTTTTCAGAATGATTTAAAATTTTTTAATAATTTTTTAACGAAACCTCAATCAAGAAATTGATATTCTTGATTTTTGGCTTATTTTGGCCTCTAGAATCTCTTATTAATATTTTTCCCAGGGATGGCCGAACTCCCCTAGTATAGTAGCATCGTAACAGTAATAGAAATAACAGGAAAATTAACGTAACAAAAATATACAGAGAAGCTGAAAGGCAACAAGCCAAGAATGTTGAAGGATTCCAAAAAATTCCAGGAGGGATGTATTTACCGCAATCAGACAGCGCGCGTATGGTGATCGGCGTCTGGTGGCTGATCGTGATGGTCCTCGTAGCCACGTATTCCGGAAGTTTGGTCGCCTTCTTGACATTCCCGAGGATGGACACGTCGATCCTGACGGTGGAGGACCTGATCGCGCGAAAGGACAGGATCACCTGGAGCTTTCCCAACGGCAGCTTTCTCGAGGTGTACCTGCGTAACTCAGACGAGGCGAAGTACCACGCGCTCTTGTCCCACGCGCAGATGCACAACGACACGGAAGTGGAGGAACTGGTGGAACGCGTGAAGGAAGGAACACACGTACTGATCGACTGGAGGATCTCCCTCAGGTATCACGGGACATTCGAATTCGTATAATTCCGGAGCTCGTGTTCGCGAAGATAATCAGGAAGATGGGTAAATAGGTTTTTGATGAAGAAACATTTGCTGCTGACCGGAGGCTGCCACTTTTCCCTGAGCACCGACGAGTTCTTGGACGAGCCCATCGCCATGATCATGCCGCAAGGTAGCCCCTACTTGCCTGTAATCGACGCGGAGTAAGTTGCACGTTTAATTCTTGGAAATACGGAATATGTACAATATCACGGCGCGCGTTCGTTTGCGGAACAGATTGCATCGAATGCACGAGTCCGGATTGATGCACAAATGGATCGCCGAGAGGATGCCGACGAAGGACAAGTGCTGGGAAGTGTTGGGCAGCAGTCAGGCGGTGAACAAGCGAGAAGTGAACGTGGCCGATATGCAAGGGATATTCTTTGTACTCTTCATGGGTAAAACTCTTTGTTTTTTTCATTTTTCAACGATCAAGATTATCGATATTCCCAATTGGAATTAAACGGAGCTATTAAGGATCGCTTCTGACGAAATCTCAAGACAGTTAGGTTCAGAAAAATAGAATCGTCCAGGCGAGAGGAACTGAAATTTGATCGATATTGCTTCCCCTTTGTTGCTTTGAGCTATGTTAATATCAGAGAAAAGAATGGAGGACTCTTTGCACTATTTTCAAACTAAGTGAATCGTTAATCGATCGTCTCTTGTTTCAGGCACCACGTTGGCCTTGTTCTTCCTAATTTGCGAATGCTACTGGCACAGACGAAAATTATCCAAGCAACGGAAACTGATCCGCCCGTTCGTGCCGTAAATTCAATTTCTGGGACGCGTATAATCGTGCAAATTGTTTTCACTGCTCTCACCAGCTTCCCGCTATCCAAACAACGCGAGGTTTCTCCTCGAATAAACGGAACCAGTACCTCATTATGCGGTCACTCGCATTTCTTCGGTCCATCTCGCGCCAATTGCATGCTCCCCCTACCTCTGTTTAAGTTAGCACGCCTTTTTTTTCGACGGGACCGGTAAAAAGGGACCGTCGTTGCTCAAATGTTGCTAAAATCCTTGCTTAATTCGGGCCCGACGACTTCCACGGAACTCTTTCGTTTCTCCGTTATGGATGGTGGAAGGGAGAGGAACGCCTTTTTACATACAACCAGTAGATTTGTCATGTATATTAAGATAAACACTTGAGGTAATATTTTTTATAAACTCACAAACGAAAGGGGAATATTTATAAATGACATTCACGCGGTAACGACGGGTAAGCACTGCTAGTACAAAATATAAGAATGGTATAAAAATTGTATGGATGGTCTAGTAAGGTCTGTTCACAAACGTAACTGTGGTAAATATAAGCGATGTACTCTTTTTCATGCCTTGGAATATTCTATATAAAATATATTATTAATGGGAATAATATAACATGTGTTTATTGGTTTTTGAAATCTCATTTTATGATATAACACCTGTGCACGCTTGTTTTGACTAACAGGTTCCATTCTTGGTAGAAAATCACAGTAATGTCATAATAAAGTAATTAAGGCAAAGAGATTTACCGAATATAATACTGAGTTGCATGGAGTAAGGTGGGGATGTAACGATCCAACGTAAATTATACATGTATATACTTATATATTTTACAATATTGTATTCTTATTTTACAGGAAACCCGTACGAAATAAATAATATTTTTACATTCGTCGTGCCTATGTAATAAAAAGAAATTCACTGGAATTTATGATTGGCTCCCTCGCTTTTTTGAGTTTTTTTTTTTAGGTTCATCGCTGTAAATACATATCGAATTTGATATAATTGGTACGTATCAATACGATGGCTACGCGTCAATTTCAAACTATAATCATTCCATTCAGTGGATCGATACGAGACAATCAATACCCGACATCAATGTATCGATAGTATCTAAATACATTTCTGACCCATCACTAGCCTACGGACATCCGAGAGGTATGACAATTACCATCACGAACGTCCAATTTGTGGATAATGGACGACACAGGATATTGCGCGGATATCCACGCAATGCCCGACACCGACAACGCTCGAACATTTTTCACGATGGACGCCTGCTGGCGTCTATTTATTCGCACGTGAATAAATTCACTCCTTCAGTACCCTCGAATCACGCGATAACGCAATGGTGGTACCAAGAAAGGGGAGAGGGGAGGCAAAAATATATAATTAAGATTCAAAAATATGCTTTTAAACTAACGTGAATTTCCTCTGTTAAAGGCGTTTGTTGAACCTTTTGTATTATACAATGCATATATTTTTAAATTCGACTTTGGAGATAAAAGATTAGACGGTGTTCGCACGTTATTTTTAACGATTTCTTTGCACAGCAAAGCGAGCTTGGAAACAATAAGTCGCATCCTTCCCGGCTATTGTTCGCGTTTGGAGAAACGGCGTTTATTAATGAACGATAAATTAACGATCGTCTTGGGAGGAGAAAAGGAACGTTCATTGTTAAACGTTGATTCTTGACGCGTTTGGCAACGATCTGTGGAAGCGTCTCGCGGTAAAAGTCACGATATTGCGTAACGAATTAATTGCATTGGTTGAGACCAGGTCCTAATGTGCTTCTACGCCATGATGAATGGAGAATTTTACTCATTCACTCACTTGTCACTCTATTTGACAGCTATTATTACAAATTGCGACTAATTAACCTGATTTTTTAATCCCTTATTTCTTATGTTCAAAAGTACCTCATCTCTCAGAAAAAATTGTATTACAAATTCCCACTCCTCATCTGAAATATAAGTATGAAGAAAGTAGTTACGAAATTTGAGTAAATTAAGGGTTGAATGTACGAATTGAAAATGTTTATTCGCCATTCGGGAGTAAAATTTGCCCCCGTGGTTCGCAGTCAATGGGCTTACTCTATCTTAATAGAGTTATCGGGTCAGGAAATTTCGTCGGAACATTCCTGACCTACAAGCTTCCCTCGTTACTCGCGAAGAGAAGCGACAATGAACATTGAGCAACGCTTATGACGCGTATGATTCCGCCGCTGCGTGGTTACGTTACGGTGGAAGTTGCCACAACCAGTTACTTTATTAAGATCAGAGTAGCGAAAGAATGGGCATTGCATGTGTGCGAACGCAGAGAGCGTAGAAAGGTCGGATTTCGCGGTGCATCTTGAGCAGATGAGTTTGTCGACGTTGCCAGTAGATCGTCTGCTCGTAAAACTACGTTCCAAAAATTTAATTTCAAAATTTATTCACAACCAAAACATTCATCTTCGATTCAAAAATTCGCTGTTGATCAAAGAACCCCCACTTTACAAATTTCCATAGAAAAATTCTCTTGTCTACTCGACAATTGATCTCCAATTAAACAATTTATTATCCCATCCAAAAGTTCATCTTGAATCCAAAAATGTTCGTAAAAATTCTCTATTCTAAAATTGATCGAATTTACGTTTGGTAAAATAATTTGTTTGCCAGGAATAAGTTGGTTTGGTAACCGAAAGTAATTTGTTTGGGTGGTGAAAATTCACCTTTAACCCAGGAATTCCAGTTGCGAGCTCTCTGAAAGCAACTCGCGTGTTCCACGTGACGAATCCGCAGCAGGATCCACTGAATAATTCATTTCTCGGGAACCTCCTTCTCCCCGTCGATCTTCCCGTTCTCCGGGGAACCTGTAACCCTATCGTGGATCCGTGGGTGGAAGGGGAAGGGCGAGAGCGCGCAATATGACGGCGTACATAGACACGGGTTTATCTACCTGACGACCTTGCCGTTTAAAAAATCCAAGAGTGGCTGGCAGGGCCTCGAGCAGCCGGCGTGCACCATCCGCGAGCCAGTTCAGACGCGGACCGCGGACGACTAGGACTAATCCTAATAGAGCTTCTTTCCGCGCCACGGAAACCGCAACGCAACGCGTCCCTCGCACCTCCAGGTGAATCGAGACCAGTTCACGTGTGTTTTCAGTGCGCGTGGATCGCGGCTAGATCCAGCGTCGGTGATCTAGCAACTGCTTCATTAACATGGGGACTATGATGTCCTGGACCATTCTGCTGCAGCGTACGTACAGTGCTCCTTCCTCATTATTTTCTTATAAATGGGATTCAAATTTGGTGATTGGAATTGGTTATTTCACTAATCGTTAGGATTTTGTATTGTGTAGATTAATTGCTAGTGGTGCTATTAGTTCTACGATTTTTCTTGGAATAAATTTCTTCTAACTGTTAACGAGTAATGTGTTTGATGTAATTGAGTTTCAATTTTGTAATTGTAACTAATTTCGAAAGTATTTTTGGACTCCATTTTATCAATCCCTGATTGTTCGAAAGGTACAGGAATTGGGGAAGAAATTATTGCAGAAGATCCACATTTGTAAATATACGTATCCAGCTTTTATTTAATTTTGTATTTTGTATTTTTTGAGTCGATCTCGACCAAATTCATACTTCAATTTTCAGTGAGGTTCAAAATGACTAGAATTCGACCCGTACAAGTAGAAAATTTTCAATTTAATTTCCTCTGGTTCCCCCAAACGGAGTTTAATTTTAAAGAAAATGTTCGTCGATCTTGGAGCAAAGTCTCCCTCCTCCCCCCCTGGTTTGAAAACAGTTAGTTTCGTCGACTATTTCAACGTCGAAATTCCCAAGCAGTGTCGTCGGCGCTCGTCCACGGCTACGACAACGCGGGATTCGACGGCTGGTATCAACCGGTTCCGCATCGACCAGTCGACATCATCACGGACGTTATTAACGACCTGGGCGCCCGGATTCTGCAGCAGTACACTGGCCACGGGAACGTGGCATTCTCGCCGACAGGGGTTGGCTTCGTCCTGGCCGCGTTGTACGAGGGCTCCGCGGGCAGAGGAAGACAGCAGATCGCCGACGCTCTGGGGCTACCGCGGGATCAAGACGTCACCAGGCTCGGGTTTCGAGACATACATCGCAGACTCCGGGTAAGATTCACACCAAAAGACACTCCCCCCTAGCAGAGCATCGTTCGAATATAATTCTATTCGAATACAAAATGAGGAAGAAATGATTAAAATAAAAATTAAGAAGAGAAAACTATTTCTTAGTCGCCGTTCATTTCTCGACAAAGTTTTATTATCGTTTCTATTGGGTGTTGGACAATATTCGAGTAAAATTTTATCTAACCTTAGACGTGTTTCTGTATGTGTTGTATATTTTCTGATTTGAAATAGGATTCTCGTGCACGTTCGTTCGAATTTAGGCATTATTAATATATTTCTACAGAATCTTGAAAAGGATCAAGGTGTTGTTATTCATGATAACTATAAATTTTTGTTCGATATAGTTAATATTGCTCCAAGTCGACGCAGAAAATTGTTATCAGGTCAGCAAAAAGGCTAGTGTCGTTAAATCCAAAGAAAAGCAAAGGGTTAAAAACCAAAACCCCAAAAATGATCTTCCAAAGATCTCAAAACCAAGCACACTCGTTCCTCCGACTCACCTAATCACCCTTGCGTAATCCTATCGGCGGAATAATTAGACCGACGGCTAATTTGAAGCCTGAACGCGCCCGAATTTCTCTTCCCTAATTGTAAGTGTCGGTTTCTCTTTCGGTCGATCGCACTTTTCGAACGAGAGTCGCGCAACCGTCGGTCCACCGACGATCCGTGACCATCCGCGATCAGAAATAATCGTTTTCCTTTCCGAAGACTTACTTGAACGCCGACGGTTTCCTGGGGGGCCTGACGCTCAACCAAGAGAACACCAAACTGCGTCCAGAATACGAAGACATCCTGAGATTTTATGGATTCGACCTGACCGTCCCTGGAGGGGACACTAACGAGACCACCACTGCTCCTGAATCCACCACAACGGAACAATCGATGACAGAGACGGTGACCCCGGTTCAGGATGAGACTACAGTGCCAGCAACGACTCCAGAACCGATGCAGGAAACAGAGACGACGACACAGGCTGCGTCGACGACCACTCTAGCAGTCGAGATGATCGGAATGACGATGAACACGCCAGATGTCCAGGACAGGTTGACTCAAATCACCTCTGACACGACAGTTCTGATGGACTCCACCACGCCTACAACTCTGTCTAGCCAAGCTACGACTTCCTCGGAAGCCATGTCCTCCATACCACAGACTCCAACGACTGTTCCTTCTGACGTTGAGACTACTGTGGACACCGTTCAACCAACTACTATGGTCAGTGTGTTGACTCAAAGCACCACTGTGGAGACAGTGGCTAGTCAGACCACTGTGACCACCATCTTGCCCTCCACTGTTGGGACGTCAGCGACAACAGAGATCGTGGAGACTACAACCGAGACCACAACCACGCCAACGACCATAACAACGACTGTCGCTGTTGCGTTGCCCACGGAGGCGTCGACTGCAGCCCAGGTCGACGACGTGGAAGCCACGACGACGGGTTCGACGATCCCCGCGACGCAGGCAAATCAGCCGATCTCGACGAATGGACCACCTGCCGATGAGAATACCGTTTTAACGGACCCCGCGGACAATCAGACGGCCTCGAGCGAGATGGGATCTACCGATTCGCTGGCCACGACCGCCGCCACAGGTGAAACCGGGTCGGACGGACAGACGACCGTGTCCCCGACTACCAGCGCGAGGAGGAGGAAGCGTGGCGCTAGGAGCCCCAGGGGATTCTTCTCCAGTTATCCGGGTCTGTAACACTTTGTATTCATTTTAACTTGTGCAACGTCAACCGATCTCTGGGACCGATTGCTCGGGTTAGAACAGTGTCTCCCAACCTATTTCTGGATCTCGATGGTCCCAATGGAGGATTTCGAAAATTGGATGGACAAATGCAATGAGATTTTATAATTGTTTTCTAAATACGTACTTTTTCAAAATTGAGCATCTACAGCTAGGTCCGTGTTTGGGAGTTGCTGGCTCTAATTTGTCAAATTTCAGACGAAGGCATCTGGATGCAAGACTTGGGGATCTGGAAGCCCTATTCCACCAGTTTGGGAGAGGCATCAGTCAGAGACTCGACTGAAATATCGTTCCTGGTGAATGGCTGCGACGTCTCCTCCGTCACGGCTTCCAGATACTTTGCGGTTCTACCGTTCGCCTATTTTCCATCCTTGCACGCCGTCGCCCTTGAATTTCCGCTGGACGTAAGACTAATCGTTCCTCGAACGATCATTAACGATTACTAGACCCGAGAGTCACGACTTAAAGTCTATGAAGGATAATTCTTTGGTCTGGAATTTTTACATGTGCAGTGGGTGGAACAAATCTGGGTAACAACTGTGGGTTGCAAAGAGAACTATCCTTCAACGTTTAACGTCTTTCAGTTATTAAAAAATAGGGCAATTTAAAGAAATAGAGAAAGAAACAAATTCAATTAAATGTCTGTTTTATTTACACTATTGTTGTATTTTGTAATTTTCAAATGTAATTTTTGATCATTTCGAACAAAATAATGCTAGAGCAGCAAACAGTATCAGAATGACCAATTTTCTAAAGAATCATTTTTCCTTGAGAAAACGAGATTCCACGTTGGAAAGCAACAGTCTGCCTAATCCAGATTAACTATACCCCTGCGGCGAAAAGACTTTAATAGGTCCGCTAACAGGATAACACACGCGCGTTTGACAAGGGTATCGCTCAACGAACGACTCTACCTGAACCGAATCGCTATATTTGTTCCACCCATTATACTTTCCGCGACTTATCTCTGGGAATCTACGATACGGTGTTAACTAAATCCACTCGCTAAACCAGTTCTTACCGTCCACGTTCCAGGACCCCAGGTATAATATCCTCCTCCTAATGGCCACGGACAGGAGGGACACGTATCGGTTGGCGAGGGATCTCGGCGGGAAGTCGCTGAGGCTGCTGAGGAAGCAATTACAGGCCACATGGGTCAGGGCCACCATTCCGTCGTTCATGTTACGCGGTTTCGTCACGTTGACGTCCTTCCTGCAGAGGGTACGAGCAACCGTGACGCCTGTTTCTCTAATCTCCTAATTGAACGATCAACCGGATAAATTTGTTCGGCTTGGCGAACATCCTGGATTAAGTATCTTAGATTTCCTAGATAAGCTTGGGACTCGTAGGTTTGTTAAACGAACTCTTATGATAGATTAATTTAGGCCTGATAGAGACTGTATCTGATCTGGATTAGACCTATCAGATCTGTCAGGCAACAGTTAAATTCCTCTAGTAGTTCCTCTATAGTAGATCAGGACAGGGCTGTTAGAGTTATTAAAATTGCGTTAAATCTGAGTGGGTCTTGTAAATTTGTAGTAGATTCAACCTGTTAGTATTTGTAGTAGATTAAACCTGCTTTGGATCAGACTTCCTGGATTTATTGAACCTACTAGACTTTTTAGACCTGTTAAACCTACAGAAGATCAGTCTAACTTTATTAGCTCTTTAGTTTGAACCTAGTAGGTGTAGGTTGTGTCTTTTATACCCCCAGAATTTGGCTTGGTCCTGCTAGATCACCCAGATCTATTGAGCCTCTCAGGAGTTACTTCCAAAGCAGACCAATTTAGGCTTGTTAGGAGCCTAAGTTGTATCTATTAAATCTATTCTTCTTACCAGACCTAACCCAAACCAGACAGGCTACAAATGTTAGATCTGTCTTGTAAGGGATCAGATCTGTTGAACCATGTTGAACGTTGTTCAGGTCTGTCAGATCTATCGGACGATGGGTTAGGTCTGGGATAGATCTGGCTAGGAGCCCGGTCGAACCGAGTTCCATGGCGCTCGATATTTCGCCATTAGTCTCGGGCATTAAGCTCCTAATTACTTAATCGCGTTAGTCGAGATCTTGAGTGCACTTCCCGCTCCTCGTCACGGTTGCGTTCCACGAGCAAAGATATCCGTAGAGGCGGTTACCTTGACGACACGTAATTGACGATAATACGAAACGCTGCGCGCGAAAGTGACGAGGCAACGGAATCCGCGAAAAATGAGAATCGTTCTAATGGACGTAATTCTGGCGAGTTTTACGAGCTCCGACTATGGATCCCGCTGGCAATGAGCCGTTCCCCGGACTTCTGAAAGTTTCCCGTTCCCTTTGACGCTTCAAAGCTGGCCCCATAATCGGCTTTAAACTCGAAGCGCGAAGAGGAAACAGAGGATGATTACTCTAGCTTGTTTCGGACGCAAATTTGACAGAGTAACTTCATATACTGGGAATATCGATAGAAAATTGATTTAAAGTAACGATCCTTGAACAGTAGCAAGGTATAAGCATCCTTCAATCGATGTCTAAATGACTCAGAAATTCAATTTAAGTATATAAATTTTGATGCTCGATGTTTCAAACGATGAATGATCGGTGCAACTTTATTCACAGTTGGGTATCGTGGACGTGTTCGAGCCAAGAGCAGCGGACCTGTCACTTATGACGCCGGATCTAGGCGTGTACGCCAGGGACGTGCAGCAGAGCATCGGGGTCAACATCAGGAATTACATGAAACCCGATAGGACCCACTCTCGTGAGTCGCCCAAATCCGATCCTCCCTTGATCGTTCCACCTCGACGGGACTATTATCGATACTATCATCCAGGTTTCTACTCTATGCTTTGTATATACCAGTGCACTTCTTCCGCAGCCTCTCCTTTCGTTCATCCTACCATAATTCACTGGCAAACATAGAACATCCTTACTCTTAACTGCATTTACATTCAGAGGGCCCTTCGCTTAGAAACTCTGTACAATAGAGCCTCAATTGTTGCAAGAAAGTAGGGCTAAGATGTTTACAAGTATTTTACAATATCAAACAAGTAGGAATTACCGTATAGTTTATTAAAAATTCAAGAGAAAGGTGTATGTGAGAAAATGATGGTTGCAACTACCGCCATCTACGACGCACAGGGCCTCCAACACACGCATGCGCGGGAATAGTGCTACCAACGCTACACGCGTGTACTTGGGGGCACATTATAATATACGTACGATATTTTAATGCATTGCAGAGTTAAATTATGTTTCGAAATGTTTGGATCGCAAGGGTTTTAGTTTCTCGAGTCAACCAAAAATAAAATGGGCACGTTTGGGGTTATTCCGGGAGGGAGGTAGGCGTTGAAAAGTTTGAACGGAGCAGTCGGGCTGACGCAATCGCCACCAGCATCGGGTGAAATTGCGATTCGTCGTGCGCGTCGTTCGCAAACGACAAAGTGTCGGGGCATGCACGCGTGGCGAACCGCGTCCGACGATGCCTGGCCATTACTACTGGCGCGTGTCCGATCCCTCTTCTTCTTCGTTCTCTTTTTCGCGTCCTCCGCGACGAGTTCCACGGAAGCGTCATTAGCGTCGTTAAGGGGTTATTCCCACTCGGAGACTTTAGGCGATCCTAAAAACAAAGAATTAACGCATGATTATACACCAACGATTTCGAAATTCCTCCTGGTTGAATTATTTTTCGAGACAACACGGTGTAATTTTCGTACAGTTATTGCGCACGGTTACGCGAATGTTTGCCAATGTTTGACATTGAATCGAACAACGTCAAGCTTGGGAGATTTCATTTTTCAATCGCGAATTTACCTTTCGGATGTAGTTACGCAAGGATTATTTTTTCACCGATCGGGTGAATGTCGAATTCTTCTTGTTTCGTTGTTTGCGCGCCGAAGAACCGTGGTTTCCGGTTTATCGTAACCGTCGGTGGTCTACGATCGGGAATATTCTCAGTATTGTTATAAAGTTAGCTGGATTTAATCGCAGATATCCTGCGGCTGACTCACCGAGGGAAATAAATGAAAAGACCTTGCGGTCCGCCAGGAATTCCTGAACCATTGCGACGATCGCTCCTCGTAAATGTTTTTACTCCTGGCATTTCCTGCGATGTCTATCGTTACTCCAGAAATTCATTACCTTCGCTAATCGTTTTCGTTTCTCGCTATTTTATCTACAGAACGAACTAATAACAATTAGTGACTCCGATCTCTTGGAAACTTTCAGCGCAGTAAGAAAATTTATTGAACAATTAGTGTTCTACGATGAGGAAGCGGCCATCTTGCGAGGGCGCTGCGGTACTGTAATCTTCTAACAGGAAAGCAATCTAAAGTTACAGTATCCTTCATTAAAAATAGATACTGTTACTCCGATTGAAGCAATTAAGCTATTAAAGTAAACCATTTTTTGTATCGTGCAATTTGTTCAAATTTTTCTCTTACTGCCGTAGTTTACAAAAAAGTTTACTCTGTTCGAGACAATTCCTATGAAAGTTCCTTGAATAGCCTGGCACTAGAATAGATACATTCAGTAACCTAACAAGATTTAACATGTTGACTGTTTATATTTGCAGTCTACAACTCTGATAATGAACTTTATTAACACATTATTAGAGATTGTAGTATCACAATCTTGGAAGCCTTCCAAGACTCAGTCGAGGTTCTTAATCCAAGGCCACTGAGGAGCTATGCCTCCCACTATTCTATTTGGCTACCCCCAGCACTCTCATCTATTCATAGTGACTTTAACTTAATTTTGTCCCGACTTCATGAAAGTCTAATCGAGTTAAAATGTTGAATAGAAAGCACCTCATTCAGAATTTTCCTGACCAGCAGTCAACGTGTTACCGTTTCTATTGAAGTTATGTTACACGAGAGCGTCCAATAATTTAGGGTTATTATTTGTTTTGACTATACTGAGCTATCTGCAACCTAGAGAATTCATCTGTATAGAATTTTGGAGGCGCTTCTGGATAAAGAATCAAGATTACTTTTTGCTTGAACTGAAGATTATTGGACGTTTCGTGGGGACGTTTGAACGAACATTGTCAGGATATCTGTTTTTACAGGAAACGGGTTATTCGAGAGAGCCGGACCAGTGCCATTCACGGCCGTCCATCCGTTTCTCTACTTCATCGTCGACGTCGAAACCTCGGTGGCCTTAATCGCTGGCCGAGTGAACGATCCGCTCAACTCTCGAATCCTCTAGGACCATAGCCCTACTTAGAAAGAAACAGACGAATCGCCGAATAGTAATAAACATATACGTTTATTTGACATACTTATAAATATCGTTATAATCTATAAACAATTTATATATATATATAATATTTATATTTATTAGATCATTCCTAGTTCGCACACACCTACCTTTAAGTACACGATGTATGTCTGTACAAATCCGTATGTTTGTAAATAAAGGAGAGATACGAAGGAAGCGAAGGAGTCTTTTTATTTATTTTATTTTAAATTTAGTTCACGGTTAACGAACGATCGGCAAGAACTTAGCATTTTACAGGGCATCGCTATACAAGTGTAGAATATATGTGCACGCGGGGCTTGTCGCTGAAACTGCCACTAAACTTTGGAGTACTTTCGTTATTTAGGTTCGACAAAACGTCGGAGATACACGGTGCCTTTCAACGTCAAGCCAGCGACTCGATCACTTTTCTTCACGTTCATGTACAGGATTGCTCGTTCACTTGTTCATGGGGGTGGGGGGGAAAAATATATTATTATCTTATATTTATATATGTATATATATATATAAAAATACAGTCCTGCGTAGGAATTTCATCGAACGCGCGATTATCATTAGGCTGGGACAACCTATCGATCGTCTCACAACTATTCCCGACTCTCCGTTGGTCGTCGGTGATCCACGGTTTGATTGGCTTCGCTTTCACAGCGACAGTCTTCGTGACGAAAGCTTCTTGAATGCTTTCTATTCATCGTTCGTCGAGGAGGGTGCCCTTCCAGTTTCCTAGCTCCTCTGTCACCCTTCTTTCGGATCAAGTCAGCAACAGGTGCGTTTAAGATGCGCCCCCAGCCGCGGTAGCTATTCGTTCGAGCCACGGGGAGGATCGATTCGCAATTATTGCGTATTTGGCAGTGATTCGCATAATCTCTATCGTTGTCAGAGTATTGTATACGGTGGCGAACGAAACGGGTTCAGGTCACGTTCTTCAGTATCCAAGGAACGAACTTCGAGATCCTCGTGCACACGCCTGGCAGGTTCGCCTCGGCGCAACCGATTCCCCAGGATATGATCCCGGCCAGAAAGTAGCGGCCATCTTTACCTCTAACCTGAAGAGGACCGCCAGAGTCTCCCTATAGAAAACAAAAAGACGATCGAGTTAGAGTTAAGACTTTAAACTTATAATCTAGTCGATACTAATTATTGAGTAACAGGGGTAGGTACTACCATCTTCTGGAAATGGGTAAAATAAAAATAAGTAGGAGTTGCAGTATTATATTAGAACTCTGGAAATAGGCTATGATAGTCAATTATCATCTCACTTTATTGATCGTCATAGACTGCTTAGATTGGGAGTACTACAGTGAGGAATATAATTCAGTGTTGGATATGATTGTCAACTATCATCCCATACTATTGACTATCATTAATTTGAACTATCTTACATCATTCTAACTTGTGTCAATTTTTAGGTGTACCTGACATGAATCTTGACCTCCCGTCTCGTATCCGGCGCACAGGAATATGTCTGGTATGAATTCGTGTCTACCAGCCCTCAGGAACATTGACTTACATCTATCGTTACTCACTATAGGCACGGAAACCTGTACAGATTTAACAGCATTGTTATAGCGGTAGTGAGATCAGTAGAGAAGTTAAAACTCAAGTAACTCTTTTTTGACCATATTGTAATTGGGATATCTAAACTTCTAAAATGTTATATTTTGAAATTTCAGGTCACAAACCACTCAGGGAGCTATGTGCTCAAATCCAGAGCCACCCAAAGCGTTATAATGTAATTAATTTGCAATTTGTTAATCAACTGTCGCTTGAACCTATAAAAGCGATGGTTCTAGATCAGAGCAAGCTGTCCTCAAAGGGTCAAGAAATTAACAGCTCGTAGAAGGATCAGGCGAGGGACCCTTAAACCCCAAGGTACACCTAATCCAGGACATCTGCAGCCTGGTCAGCCGTAATTTATCGCGAGGATTTACCTCCTGCAGCACCGAGGGCAAGGTCCCACCCTCGCTGAGCCTCCCCCAGCCGGTGACAGTCGCGTTCTCGCCGATCAGTAGATCGTCCGTGGCCGGGAGACAGATGGGCGAGATGTGGGGCGCGAACGTCAACGAGCTCTCCAGCTTGACCAGCGCCAGATCGTACTCGTACGTGAAGAAATTGTACTTGGGGTGCACCACCTTCTTCGCTACGCCGCGCTCCACGTACGGCAGTCGTTCCTGAACCGACGAGAAGTCGTACTCGCCGACCCTGATCCGGATCTGCGAAGTCAGCAGGCTGGAACACGAGATCAACGACAAGCTCCTTCTGGCATCTTGATCCTGCCTGGTTGCTACGGGATTAGACGTAATTGCGGATCGAAAGAGGCGGAACCGGGGGGGCCAAGATACGCGCCGCGATACGCTATCGCGGCTGTATCCGCGCTAATTAAAAGTCATCACCAAGGGAGCCAAGGTGTGACGTAAATCACCTTGGGAGAATCTGGTTTTTAGATTCGTCGAGCCAGACTAATCCTACCCAGTACTTTGGATCACGTATCATTAGGAAACTGCAAGTACGATTCGAAGCTTAGAACTCCTGGAAGATCTTGATAGATTGGTATAAAAGGGTAACGGATCCGTTGATTGCAGAAGGGAATTTTTCTGAATCGTCTTCGATATATTTTACCTTGCTCCTGCAGTGAAACTTGAAATTCGATCCAAAGTAGCATACCGGTAAGATTAGGATTAAGGGATCCATCTTTCTTCTCTCTCTACTCACTCGTCCACGCAGTGTCCCGCCGTCGCGATCCAGTTCTCGTTCAGCACCGCTCCGCCGCAACGATGGGTGCTCGAGAAGCCGAAGAACGACGTGCGTCTAACCGACACCTGCCAAGGCCATCGACCGAACGGCGCGTCCTTGCCGCCGACGATCCTCGTTTCCGGCCGCGGAAACAGGGGCGGCACGCCGCACTGCGTGCCTTTGCTCTCGTCGGCCGCGGACACTGTCAGCACCGAGCCCGTCTTGGCGGTCGTCTCGGTGGTGGAAACGGTGGTGTCCGGTTTCGGTGTGGTCGTGGTCGTCGTCGTCGTGCTGGTCGTGGTAGTAGTGGTTGTCGTCGTGGTGGTAGTCGACGTGGTGGTCTTCTTGGTGGGTCTGGGCCTCGCGGACGTCTCGAAGTGGGATGTCGTTATGTAGTGCGCCGAACCGAGGGGCTTGTGAAACTCCGTGATCTGCGGGGGAACAGAACGCATGGAAAATGTTCGTGCCACAGTAGTCTAATCGCATAATTTTATACATTTAAGATACAGCCAAATGCAACTATGATATTTGACTTCAAACGTTTCAGGTGAACAGCGTCAGCCATGTTGCGACTAGTAGCGCCACGTGGCAACCACTAGCCCTACCAAATGGGAAATCGATTAAAATTTTGTCGAAATAAATAGAAAAATATTTATAAATCATATTAAAATCGCCCACCGAAACGAATACCAAGTATTATAGTCTGCCAAAATTGCTGGATGCCCATATTCTGTTTACTCGGTGGTACCACATTCCTCTTAACTCTGATACTTTCAGGACTGTTATTTCTTTTACGCTGATTTATTAATTTTCTAAATCGCCCGGGCCGCTGTTTCTACTTTGTAGCGCGGCGGTGTTCAATGGGCTGTGTAATCGCACCCGGGGCCCATTGGGACCTGTTCTTTGTCGCGATTAACAGTATATCCGCGGCAAAAACCGGCCCAGGATTTCTTCGGAGGCTCGGTGTTTTTCTTCTACGTACCGATAGAATCTAATAACACCACGGAGCATCGATTTCTCGATCGAGGATGTAACGCGATAAAGTTGTTCCGCGGACGGTTACCGATTCGCAGATTAGATGCCTCGAAGAAGCGTTTCGCTGGCTCTCGAATAGGGAAGAAGCTCGTCGCGATTGTGGTCAACGGCCGAGGTATTACGAATTCCTCGATCCCGGCGAGTACACGAAGCTATTTTGCAACGACGAACAATCCGAATATTCTCTTCGAACGTTATTATCGAAGCGTGAATGCAGCCGCGCGATCAAGGTATTCGAAAAATGAGGAAGCAACAAAGATATTAGAATAAAGAAAAATTAAAGTAAAAAATTCAAGGTACTTAAGTGGATAATTACGAATGTAGGTTCGGTCTGAATAGTGGTTAATGCGAAGAAACATCTGACATACTTCTTGTGGTTCCGTAGGCTTCAAACTCGGTCGCGGCGGGAATCCTTCAGGGCCGTTCTGAAGGAGACTAGGGTTGTCCGTCCAGTGCGGTTTCAAGGACGGCCTGGGCGGCGTCCAGCTGTTCTCCGACCAGAAATAAGAGCTGCCGCTCGACGGTTTAGCGGTTTCTAGGGAACTCATCGGCTTCGTGGACGAAGACGGCCTCTGTTTCGTGACGAACGCCGGCTCTGTGGTGACTTGCCAGTGAGAGGTCTGTGGTACGGATCCGGCTGCGCTAGAATGAAAGAAAAGTTTGAAGCTGTCGCCTGAAAATCCTCCTTCTTCCAACAAATACCAAGATGCCCGTATGGTTTCTACGATTAGTAGGACACCGATGACGAAAGGTAAGATCGTAAGTGAACGTAAGGACATAGTCGAATACCTGGTGGTGGATTGGCCAGTGGAGTAGGTCGGCTTGGTAGTTGTTGTCTTCATGGACGTGTACGAACTACTGGGTTTCGATACGAAATTTGGCCTCGAGTTCGTTTGGTCGTTTATCGAGACGGGCCGATAAGTGGTAGTCTTGATCGAGAAGTACGGTTTAGAGAAATCCGTGGTCGGTTTCGGCGATACTGGCTTCGTCGCCCACTGTGGGCGCTCCGTGTGAATAAAGTTCAGATTAGAGTGAGGTTCCTTGGCTGTTTCCTGGCAAGAAGCGAAGCATCGAACACCTTTAAATCTCGTTCTCAAAGAACGTCCGATCCTATAATCCTACAATAAAAAAAGATCCTTACGTTTTCTTCGAGCGAATTAACGTTTGGGTGATGCACCGACTCCTGCCCGCTGAGATCAGCGTCCTCGGTCTTCCCCTCGTCGGGTCTCGACTCGAACGGTCTTTGGTTGCTCGGCCTGTTAGGCCTGATCCCTTCGTCCTCGCCTGACGCATGCTCTTTCCCGGGCAGTCTTACCACCAACGTGTTGTGACCCGTGTCCACTTTATCCTTGAAACCCTGATGGTGACTCTGGAACCCATTGTGGGTGGTGTCCTTCTCCTTGACGACCGTGTGTTGGCTATCGTCGGGCCTGGTCTTCTGTTGGGGACTCTGACTCTCGTGATGGCTCGGTCTCTTCGTGTTTTGAACGTTGTTCTCCCAGTAGATCGTAGTGCCAGGTCTCTTTGTACTCTGGGACGCTGGTCTCTTCGTGTTCTGGGAGCCTGGTCTCTTCGTACTCTGAGTACCCTTCTCCCAAACGTCGAGGGAACCTGGTCTCTTGGTGTTCTGGGAGTCCTTGTCCCAAAGATCGCTTGGTCTCTTAGTGCTTTGGGTACGTTTGTCCCACAGATCAGAGGTACTAGGTCTCTTCGTACTCTGGTTACCCTTCTCCCATAAATCAAACGCATCTGGCTTCTTCGTGGTTTGAGTACCCTTCTCCCAGACATCAGACGTCCCTGGTCTCCTCGTACTTTGACTACCCTTCTCCCACGCATCAAATGCACCTGGGCTCTTGGTGCTCTGGGTACCCTTCTCCCAGGCAACAGAGGTACCTGGTCTCCTAGTGATTTGGCTACCCTTCTCCCAGACGTCAGAAGTACCCGGTCTTTTGGTACTCTGGTTGCCCTTCTCCCACATATCAGAGACGTCAGGTCTCTTGGTGCTTTGAGTACCCTTCTCCCAGACATCAGACGTCCCAGGTCTCCTCGTGCTCTGGCTACCCTTCTCCCAGGGAACAGGGGTGCCTGGTCTCTTGGTGCTTTGGCTACCCTTCTCCCAGACATCAGACGTCCCAGGTCTCCTCGTACTCTGATTACCCTTGTCCCACAGATCGGAGGCGCCGGGTCTCTTCGTGCTCTGGGAGCCCTTCTCCCAGAAGCTCGACGAATTCGGCACCGCCGAGGTCTGGATCCTGTCCTTGTGGTCGGTGGTTGGCTTCGAGTGCGGCCTCTTCTGTTGTGGCCTGCCGGAATCGGACGACAGAGGCTTGTGAGGTCTGCTGGACCCCCCGAAAGTGTCCAACGTCTCGGATGGACGGTGACTCGGCCTCGCTGTGCTGGTGTCCGTCACCAGGAAGCTGGACAGCGACGTCAGCGTCGGTCTGGTGGCCTCGTTGCCCAAAGCCTCCGCCAGGGTCGGTCTCAGAGGGTCGGAGGAGGACGCGTGCTGGTGGTGGTTCTGCTGATGGGGCGCGGCGATCGAGTTCGTCGTCGAATTGTGCACGCAACAGCTACCGAACATGAACGTGTCCACGCACACGCCCACGTGCGTCCCCTCCGACTTTATGCACTCCCAGACGAACATGCACGTGCCTTCCTTCGACTCCGCGCCCGGCACTCTGCAGGGTTTCGGGGTGATCTTGTAACCTGTGCAGGGCAGACAGACCGCTTTCATGGGTCGGGCTTCTTGGAGGTACTCTTAGAAGACGCGGGATCGACGTGAAACGGTTCTTGGAGGTGTTTGAAGCGGTTGATTCGAGGTTTAAAGCGTCATTTCAATCAAGTCTAGGGTTGCATTAAATGGTTAGTAGATATAAATGTCCTGTTGTGCTGGGAAACTTGCATTTGAAACGGTTGTTAGGAGTTTGAGATGGTTGATTCGAGGTTTGAAGCATGAGTTAACTCTAGTGTCTTGTTAAACTTGTGAAATAATTTGAAGGATTGTCCTGGAGGCTCGACAGGGTATTGTGTAATTTTATTTATGCTACTACTTCGAAGAAGCCTGGGGAATTCTTCCCTCAAAGATCAGATATACCTAGTCCTTTTCTACTCGAGGCAACCTTGCTCCAAAGATCAGAGATTTTCTCTGCCCTGTGAATCAGTGCAATCTTGAAGCACGCTGTGCATTCGTTCCAGCGATCATACATTTTCGCCCAGACAATGAATTGTTGCAACGTCGAACGGTTCCGCGGCTGACCCACATCCGCGGTCGCCTGGTGCGTGATAAACCGCCGTTTAAGGGCCTTCGTTGTAATTCTCTCTGTAATTAACAGCGAACCGTCCTGGGACCTGACGAGGTCGCGGGCACAACGAGGAATAATCGTTTACCGAGCACCGAACGGAGACGATCGATACTTTCGACGGTAGTCCAGGTCCGCCGCGAATGGATTTTGGTCGGATTCCTTAATTAGCGGACCGTACAGGGCCGGCCCGGTAATTGGGACGTCATTAGCGTCGCGCAGATCGAATCTGCGGGGCTCGCGGGTCTCTGGCCGGCGAAAGTGTGCGCCCGGATCGTCGGTTAGCCAGCGCGAAACGAGGGGAAAAAGGAAAAATCGCGCACGGGAAGAGTAAAAAAGGAAACTCAATCGTCGCGCGGAAGGAGCACGTAAGCCTGGGCCAGGTCGTTAACCGAGTCACCGTATGGCCACGGCAACGTAAATTACTTGCGGTTCGCGGTCTGCACCTTCACGATCTCGCTTTCTCCGTTAGAAGTATGCTCGTATCGCGTCCCAGGGCACCCGGCGTTAATTAAAGAAAAACTTTATCGGCCGGTAACGTTCGTTCGTCTTCGCGGGAACAATGGGGTTGATGGTGGGCGGCCAACCAAAGTGTGACGATTAGGGATGGAGGGTCAAGTTCACTGGAGCACTTAAAAAGTACGTCACAGATGGCTAACAAGAGAAGAATACGAACAAGACGAGCCAAGACGCTTTTTTTGGAATTATAAAGTAAAATATGACACGAATAAAAATGTATACCGGGTATTTGGCAATCGATAGTGATTTTACGTGAAAAAGTGAATCGAAAATGTAGAGTAACAATTTTTCGTTCGGGGTTCGGTTTTCGAGAAAAACAGCTTTGAAAATTTTTGGGGCACGCGCCTTCGTCGACGAAACAGACTTTGTGGTAGCATTCTGGTTCCTTCAGTAGCATTTAGATAATTCAAAATACAAACTACTTGCTACGAGCTTTTGGAAATGTCCTGGAAGAAACAATTGCATAGTTTGACTTCGTTTAAAAAGTATCAGATAATCGCTCGATCTAATTCTCACCACTTCACTCCCCCGCGCCACTGCCACGGGGATCTTATTAAACTTGTTGAACTACACATGTTCCAGGAATCAAGCGCTGTTATCTGTGTCTCTAACTATACAGAGCGTTAAAAAACACTTGTACGAACTTTGAGGTCACATAGTAAGAACGTCTGAAGTATCGGTATTTATTTTATATTTTATTTTATTAAATTGTTACGCGTATTAATTCCGAGGCTCAAACCAAACTCGTTTGGATCGAATGCTTTACAGCCGCGATAAATGTAGCCGCGCCTTTTACGAGATGTATTTAAAGTCGATGAAGCGAAACTTCGGATGGAGTTCGATTCGCGATACATCGAAATTAATCCCATCTTTAGCGACGATATCTTTTTGAAGTCGCTGAAGATGCATGAATAATCTTCTTTATGGACAACGCCAAGTGTGTCACGGCGCGTTTCTGCAGAGAAAACGGTTAATAAAAGATGACTCGTTCGCTGCATGAAAGAAGACATCTTTCTTTTTTCTTCTCAGGCACATAATGGGGAATATTAGGTACATAGTGCACGATGAAGTTGGAAAAGTGGCTACATTAAATTCTTTATCCTCCCGCTAACGGTGCAGTTAGTCGAAGAAATAGATCGTAAATTTTCGAAGTACATCGTTAATAAAATACTTCGATTTTTTGTCAAATAATTTTGCTCCTCCGATTTTTTAACAATTTGGGAAGGGTTAGCAAGGAGCAGACGTGCGTTTTCCAGCTCGTTCCTTTTCGGGACTTCCTCGAAACGAAAAGAAAGTCGCGTCTACCCCCACCCTCGATCGCTTTTCTTTTCCCACGCTCGTACGACCGACTGCACCTTGACCGAGTTCCTCTCGTCCAATTAGGCGTTACACATTTAAGAGGAACCTCCCGGGCAAGGCGAGGAAGAAAGAGAAACGCTTGGAGAAAGGGAGAGGCGGAAAAACGCTCACGAAGGGTCGAAACACGGTCGAACCGTAATGAAACCAGAACTGGCCCCCTTTTTGCCACGAACGACGAAAAAGGGAAAAAAAAGAAGAATGAAACGATAGAAAGTGATAATAAATAATGCGAGCTCGGCGCAAGATCCTCAAATAACTGTTATTTGATGCGATAAACGAGCGTCCAGGCAGAAATAACGCCCGATTTCGAATAATTCGTTGTTCCCTCGCGATCGACTAACGGGAAGTCGATCGCGTTATCCGCGATTATTCGATTTATGCATGATTAGTTGGCCTACTGCACTGGATGCATCGAGCGATTCGAATATTTCAAATTTCAGGCGCAGCCATGCAGCGATGGCCGAATTAACGACTTTTCGAATACAGAGTTAACCCAATACAACCGAAGAGGTTAGGTTTTACACGTTTCTTAAGCATGTACTTACCTATTTGTATTTTACAGTTTGTTTAATATACGTACGAATACTTTCTTAGCGGAATATAAATATTGGAGACTTTAATGCTCGAACGTTCGTAATTATATCTATACAGAGTAAGTCGATAAGTATTCCTGCGGAATATATTCTATTCCAGGTAGGTAAACGAATGCGTTGTGATTTTTCTCCGGCGTTGAAACAAACGATAAAAAGCCAGAGGCTGAGTTCATTGACCATTTTCGCGATGGAGGCGACGCGGGGAAAGAAACGCCATTAGCTATTGAAATACGCGCGCTCGAATCACCGAAAGGAGTATTACTGACTGTGACCTCGATTCACCGTGCTGAGGGACCTGGCGATGCCCGACCACCAGAGAATTGTGGCCACGTAACCGATCCACCGCATCCTGATCCCTGAAATCAGAAATGTATCCATTAATGCAGTCTTCGAGCGTGTCAACATCCAGCCTGCAATTACAACTCTCCACAGACATGCTCGCTTTTCCAAACAAAACCTTCGTGAACTGGGTCGCCACCCCTTAGAGGATCAGGGTTAACATTCTAATAAAAATTCCCTTTGACATTTTTTAAATCGTTGTTTAAAATCAGTCCCTCGCAAAAATCCAAACGATGTGCAAACGAAAGTGCAAACTAAATTATAGCTTATGTAGTTATTGTCCAAGATCAAAATTTAGCTAAAATAGAGTTTTCCCATTGAAGGGGTGCAATGATCGTATAAAAAAGGTTGAGAAACGCTGATGGATCGTCGATCCTTGTCCCCCATTTCTCCGATCTCATCGCGTTATCGGTTTGCCCGTCGAGCGGCCATCGAGGTTCACGTCACGAACGCTGGAACGATATAATCCTCGTACGACTGTCGTGCATCGACGCCGTAATCGTTCGCTGGGACATTGTTACGCGTCCAAGGTTAATCATCGAGGATCATGCAAATTGCGCGCGAGCGAGACTCTTCTAATCCCATCAGCGGAGGCACGCGTGCGTCCAGTTGTTCGTCGCGCGATGCACGGGTTGCACGACCCGCGTTCTATCGCCTTTTCCGCGCCGCCACGACTGGTCCCGGTGATTCCCCATGCACGGGTACGCGCGGCTGCGCGCGCAGATACGTTTACAGGTCTCTCCCGCTCGCCTCGCTGCGCTGCCCAGGCTTCTGTTACTAATAAGCATGCCTAATGTGGCCACGTTCCTCACGTGCCTTGATGGCGTGCCAAAGCACGAACCAGAGGTCACATTTTCCCTCTCGACGGGAGAAATGAAGCGAAACCGATCGCAGACCGTTGTCGTTCGATATTAAATCCCCGAATCGATCAACGAACGCCGTGAGTTTCCCAGTCACGGCGGCGGGACTTTCGATTCTTCAGCCGCCATATTTGTTTTTCACTCGTTCGATCGACTGGCGCTTTACGAATCGTCGCGGAGACGTACGCGGACGCTCGACGGGTTGTAATCGTTAAAATTTGTTACCAAAATTCTGATGGAACATTTTTATCGCGATTGGAGTTCGATGATAAGATTATTTCGAGAAATGCAGTCAGTAGTTTTGCGTCAGTAGTATCTAGCAGATACGAAGGTACAGCGGTGCTATTATTGGAAAGTGAATCGATCATATATTGTTAGCGACCGTTTAATTCCGTGTCACCCTAAATCGGTAAGGTTAACCACAAGCCATTCACCATGTATCAAACAGCACATACGATGGATTGTCCATTTTCTTCTGAATAGAGGGAGATGCAAAAGCCATATTTCACCAGAATTTTTATCGCAAATCAAGGCCACCGAGCAAGTTCATTTATTAGAAAGCAACCTCTTATCTATATATCCACGACGATTGGTCAATACTTGATTTCATTGGGCAGCTTTTAAGACTCTCGTCTTAAAATAAGACTTGGCTCGCCGTGCCCCCTAAATAAATTGCTCCGACTTTTTAACGAGGCTCGGTTTCTCGGCAACTATTATTGGAAAGCGGATCGATCAGGTATCGTCGTTAACCGTTTAATTCCGTGTCACCCGAAGGTATCAAGGTTAACCATAAGTCATTTAAGGTACGCCGGAGCGTTTCTCGGAACCCGGCGAACCGATTTCCCCCGACTTTCGGCAGAACGTCGAAGGAAGACGGATGTAAAGCAGTCCGACCAAAGACAGGGGGGACGAGACCTGAATGCAGTTGACTTATTGCACGGTCCGAGCCTCTTTATAAGTCGATCTCGGTGTTGTGACCCACATATCTCGTTGCTTTTTCCGGATCGAAGAATGAACAGCGAGATATAAAGGAGAATATCAACCGACGGACCGTACCTAGCCACTTATGGCTCGAGAACCGACGATGCTTTTCATTCCAACGACCAAATCGTTCCGAGGCACTTTCACTCTCGTCGTCGACGTTCGAACACCTCTCAAACGACAGTTCTATTTAATTAATCAATCGTAACAAGCCTTCCTCGACAGTCTGAGCTTATAAAGTGAGCAGAGCATACCAAAAGGGGTGAAACGAGTAGTGTAATAACTGGACTCAAAGGACAAGTCTTAACCTTGGACGGTCAGGTTCGCGATTCCAGGTCCAGACAGACGCGTTAAGGTGAAAATTGAGCCGACTGGCGTAAATTTGTGACTTTGTTCCGGCGTCCCGGCCGAGGAGCTCGTCACACCGTAACGGTTTAATGAAATGTGCGATCGCACTGGACCGTTCAGCCGTGCCTTTGTACTAGAAACCTTTCACGGGATTCACAATTTTTGCGCCCGCCTCTTATGAGTCCCCCTGGCGCGGTAACCTGAATTCAATGCGGCGTAATATCGCGCCGTCGAGAGGTCAGTACTTCTAGCTCGCAGCAGAGCTCGTGGCTATCTTTGAATCTCTTCGTCTCTTGGAAGGTGGAGCCTGTAGACTTTTAATTAAGTCGGCGTCGAGGTAATGAATACCAACGTGCCCCGTTCGTTCGAGAATTATTAACCCACTGGCTGGTAAACCGGGGTCAACGCGTCCTGGGCTGGTGTCTGCCAACGCGTCTGCCAATTTCGGGCCGAACTAGTTCATCACCCTAAATATCGACGGATCGTGCGCATCTTTGGACCCGAACTCCGCGAAATCCAAACGTTTGAAAGTTTGCGGAGACGTCAGCCTCCACTCTTCCCTTCCGTGCACGTCAAAGAAAGTTGGTAATTTCTCATTAGACGTAATGGTGACTTCGGGGCATCGCAAGATTTATTATAGTCTAACGATCCAATAATGCATCTTAACGTCAAAGCATTGGAAGGATAAAATTTATGCACAAGATGTATTCCAAACAAGGCTTATGGATGTTCTTATTGCAAAGTATGGCTTCCACGGAGCTTGTTCCTCGCGTCGACTGAGATACGAAGAGAAAATTGGATCCTGAATTCGATTCCGATGAGGGAAAACTTCGTCCATACTTCGTAGATCGAAAACGGGTCGTCGTGAACGGAATAGGCGTCGTAAAACGAACGCCAATGGAATGACACCGAAACGATCTGCTGTGCTCGCTTTAAATATCGTTCCGTTATTGATCGGGCAGCGTACGAGCGTGATAAATACCAAACATTACGCGTGCCCGGCGGGCCTCGGGGTTGCCGATTAAAAATCGTCAACTTTCTATTGGAAACGTCGATCCCGTCGATGAGGAGGGAGAAAAAAAGACTCGTATGAATGGATGAGCGATGGCGCGCTCGCCGGAACGGAAGAATAGAGAGGATAAGGAAAGGTGAAACGAAAACCGAAGAGAGGAGAAAGGGGGCTCGCGTAAACGGCGAGCATCGCCTTTACGACGGGTCATCAGCGACTATTATGCAAATAAAAGAAACGCAACGGCAGTAAAACCGCGAGATATCGTTTAGCCGCTAGACTCTGGCGCTTTATCGCGGACAGCTGTTCCTTTTTCCGCGTGTTCCGCGAAACGGCCGCGCGAGACGCAGAACGCCACGCACCAACGCTTTGCACCGGTGTTTCGAGCATTTCGGAGACAGAAACTGTAGTAGAAGGAACTACCCGGATAACTGAAACGATTTTTCTCCGGGCTAGTCAAACCATTGAACGATTTGAGAACTAATATGATTGATATCGTCTTAGGTTTTAGCAAGCGTTCTATCATATAAGATTTCATTCACTAGTGAATAGTAGAAATTTTTGTCATTGTATCTTCCTGAAATTGTTACGGGTGTATTACTGAGGCTCCCTCGATGAAAATGAGTACAAACACGACCCCATTCAGACAATTTTTAATTTTACGTAATCTCAAATTGTTGAAAAACGATTCGAAAAAAGTAAAATTAAAAATGGTCCGAATTAGGCCGTGTTTGTATTCGTTTTAATCGGGAGATCCTCATCAATCTATTGGTAGTACTTCCACGAAGATATTGTTATTCACATTACCTAATAATTGTTATGTAACAATTCAAGAAACCCCTGAACTCTGTATAATCTAGTTCGAATAGGTAGTCAGGCCTTATGTATTTGATCCTAGAACTCAGTAGTAGTAGCCTCTTCGAAGTTTTCGAACCTGTGATAGACATTGTGCGTTCTTCCCTTTGGTCCACATTTTCTATCCAGAATTAATCAAAGAATATTCTCTTATAATGTCGACCATTGTGTCCAAGAATGCTAAACATCAACTGTTATATCCAGCCACCTGACAGCTTCTATTGAATCCGGCTCGCAGCAGCGGAAGGGCTGTGAAAGGACTCGAAGAATCGATTCCTCGTCTCGTCGGGGGACCAAAGGATTCGCTGTCACGGTGATGACACTTTTATCGTCCCGGGGAACAGGGTCGGGGAATCGGATATCGGCTTTACTTCGTTCCGTCGCGAACAGCCAGCGTCTCCTGTCTCTCGTTGAAATACGGGGCTCGATAAAAACCGTCCGGCCGAACAAAAACCGCGCGAAACATCCACGGGATTTCCTTGCTCGGAAATCGGTGCCAACGCGACAAATTGCCCAAAAAAACGACCCAGAAAGCCCAATAGTCCGCTTCAATGACCCGGTATGCGGGACCAGAATTCGGCGACACAAAGTTTCCGGCGATCTTTCTTCCGCTGTCGCACCTGCTTGTCAATTGCATAATGTTCTGTACGCTCTATCGTTCCAACTATCGATTAATCTATCCACCTATCCCCGTGTAGGCTCGTATACTTATCCACCTATCCTCATACACACCTGTATACTTACCCACCTATCCATCTATCCACCTGTCCACCTATCCATCCATCTACCTGTCCACTTACACACCCGTCCAGCTAACCAACAATTCACCTAGTCAACAATCGCCACCCACTTATCTCCAACGATTGGAACACACGTCAGAGTGCCATAACCGAGCAACCGAGCGGATCGCAGCCTTTCGATCACCGTGTTCCGTGTGGCGTCTGCCGATCGGAAAA